CATGGACAAAGCGATGTACAAGTTGTCGCTAGTGGTCACATCCTAATACGTGGCAAGGCGAGAAGGCGCAACTTCAAGCTTGCCTGATCGTCGAAGATCGGACTTGCCGTTCGATATCCGGATGCGCCGGTTGGGTGGGTCTATTTTTCGGGGGTTCATTTTCTGTCGGCTCGTCGCCGCCATGGAGCTGCTCGCGAACCAGGACATTTGCCAGAGCCTCCTCGAGATGAGCCCTCCGAGCACCGCGCATGCGCTGAGCGTCGTCGTCCTCTCGACGAACGGCCTCTGCGCGTATGGCGAAGACGATCTCTTGTGGCGGCGGCTGGCGCAGGCCCACTTTAGCGAGGTCAACCCTGCGATTTTGCCGCATGTGGCGCTACCAATGCCGCCGTTCAAGGTGCAGCTCTCGCCCGCGTGCAAGGCCTTTCTCGAGACATGCATCGAGCACGCTATCTTTTCGTCGATGCAGGTCGTCCGCGGCGACATTGGCCGCGTCACGAGCATTGGCAGCACAAAGCTCGACTGCCTCATCTTTCCGTCCAACTCGTCGCTCCTGAGCTTTGGCATTGGCGCGGCCGGCGCCGTCTTCAACCGCGCGGGCAAGGAGCTCACAGTGCTGCTTCGAAGCCCCGAGTTTCGCAACACGCGGCGGTATGTGGCCGATGCGGTCGCGACGCCGGGGTTCAAGGCCGGCGTCGACCACTTGATCCACTGCGTCGGGCCCTCAACGAACCGCCCCGACTGCGCCGCGACCTTGTACCGGACGTACTTTAACGCGTTTGAGCGCGCGCGCGAGGTCGGCGCCACATGCATTGCGATCGCGTCCATCTCGACCGGGTCACTCGGCTTTCCGGTCCACGAAGCCGCGACGATTGCGATGTGTGTGTACCGCGACTACATCAAGGCCGTGCGGTGGCGCGCGCGGCTTGCGTTTGTCTGCTACGAAGACCGCGTCTTGGAGGCCATGACGCGCCAGCGCGATGCGATCCTAGCGGCGTTCAACGCCGGCAGCCTCGAGATGCCGACCGTCGAGCTGCGACGAGCGCCATGATTGTACTACTCTCGACCTCTATCTAATCATCCACCTCCATGCCCTCTGTCCGCACGTCCTATGTGCACCTTCTCCAGTACCCACCAACGATCTGATGGCCTGCCATTCAGCTCCAGTCGACTCTGCGAGCTCGAATCCAAGCTCCTGCTGGCATATTATCTCACGAACAGGCTCGACCACTTCCTCGACGCCCTTTGCGAGCTATCGAAGCAGCTAACGTGTTGGCCACGGAATGACGCATTGCAGCTGGATGGCCTAGTGCATGCGGGCCGACTGCAGCCACAGACACCAAGTGCAAGCAGCATGTATCGTCGATAGGATGGTGTGGACGTCGGTCGCGGGTGGGCGCAAGGCGCGTCGTCGTCGTTGGCATGGGCCAAGAAGGGAAAAAGACACTATATTTGGCTTGATCACGTCCTAGAAGCGAGTCGATCGAGGTAGCATAGAGGAGTCCATCCATTTACGCCTTGAGGGCGTAGCGGCGCTTGGGGAAGTACGCCTCCTTCTTCTGCTGCTTGAGGGTCTTGATGGCCTTCTCCGACTTGGTGAGGGCACGGCGGATGGCGCGCGTCTTCTTCTCGCGGAGGTCGACCGGCACGTGCTTGCCGTTGCCGAGCTTCTCGCGAAGGCGCTCCTTCTGCGTCTGGTTGTACACCGTCAAGACGCGGGCGATCGACTTGCGGACCGTCTTGATCTTGGCAAGCTTCGAGGCGGCGCCGCCCGTGACCTTGGCGACACGGAGCTGGGCGAGTTCCTGCTGGAAGTCATCGAGTTCCGTGAGGAGCTCGGCCTTGGTCTTCGAGCGCAATTCGTGAGCCTTGATCTGGACTACACCATCATGCATGAGCCTCGTCCTCCTGCTTCCATGCATGCTTACGTACCCATTATTTATCTTTTGGTTCTTCCCTTTTTTGAATGAAATTCGCTGCCGCCAAGCGCCGTAGTCGCACTGGCCAGTCACTCGGTCCCAGCTTTCTGCACCAACCAAGAATTCCCATCTTTTTGGCCAATCCGCACGCGACCCTCTATGAACGAATATGTTTAGCATATCAAATGCGACAGGCTGTTGCCAACAGATCGATGCAGTTTACAACAGAGTATGACCGCGCGTCGATTGAACAGCGGCGACCGCGCCGACATGCACACAGCCCGACACGAGAGCGCTATCAGCAACACAGCGCAAGGTATATCGTATGAAGGTAGATGCACGACAGAAGCGAGAGCGTCGCGGTTCGGCGGGACCATATTGTTTTAAACACATGGTGCAAACGCGATCGCAAACCTGTATAATACAATTCAAAAGCGGCGCCAAGACACGATGGACGACGTGTTCGACCTCGTCGACCGCATCGAGGAGCAGTGCATTGTCCAGGGCCATGCGCAGGGCGTCGAGGAAGGCCGCCGCCTCGGCTTCCAAGAAGGCAACGACTTGGGGTACACCCATGGAAGACACGATTTGACATGGACCTGACGAGGCGCGTAGCGAGGTCAAAGGCTACGAGATTGGCAGCGAAGTCGGCTTCTACCATGGCTGCTACCTGCTCTGGAGCGCAATGCTACTTGCTGATGCGTCGTCGCTGCCGCCGAGGTAGCCGCTCATCCTCTCGACAGAATGGTGTCGCCACAAAATCTTCTGGCACAGAGCGGTCAAATCGATCGAGTCGCTCGGCCAGCGCATTCGCAACTACGCCCTCGTCGTACGATGATACTCAGATCCTAGTCGTTCTTAGTTGAAATCGTGCGTAGAACAGCCTCGATGAGAAGATCCACATGGACCTGCAGCTCATTCGCGCCAAGTTCAAGGTCGTGACGTCGCTCCTCGGGCACCCGTCGCTCGTCTTCAACGAGCAGAATGTCCTGGACCACAAGAACATGTCCTTCTAGTCGCTGCGACGATTAACTATATCAAAACTGCCTACGCGTCGTGCTTGATTGCGGCGAGAAGGGCGAGCTCGTACGTGACAGCGCCAAACCCTGCATGACGATCGACCATCGCGATAGACTTGGATGACACGTACCGCTGATGTAGCGCAGACCCACAGGGACGGGCGACGTCTCGGGCGACCCCAGCGGGTTGATCAAGATGACTCGGGCGTGGGAGAGCTCCATAGCGCGTCGGATACCGGCGCCAAGCAGGCCTACGAAGCCCAATCATGTGCAGATCTGCGAATCGTTTGTAACTTGACGTACCACCGGTGTTGAGGACGATGGTGGTCGACGCAGCGCTGGACAAGAGCACGTCGATCACAGCGCCTTCGTCGTTGGTGTGCGACGAGGTCAGGGAAACGCCCTTGGCGGAGGCTCGCAGTTGCGCCTCAAGCCGACTCCACGATACCTGCGTCCTAGAGGAAGCGCATGAGCCATCGACAACACATGACACATGCATGCCGTACCCCGCGAGAACGTTGCCGTGGACGAGCGAGCACGGGCCGTTGAGAATATGCACGTCACCAACCACCGTTGACGTGGACCACACAGGCGTCGTTGGTGCTGCCTGCACGGGCGTTGGTGGTGTTGACGTGTAGTGCGCTGGCTGCGGATCAATGTATCGAGGCACCGGCGGGCGAGGCTGCTCGATGCGCCGTGGCGACGTAGGATCGTAAGCCGCATCGTCTTCCTTGTCGGGCAGTGGGCCCAAGAGCGATGAGAGTTCTAAGATCGACGTGCATATGCTGCGCATTCAAGCTCGGGTTGTAGTACCTGCATCGAGGAGGTCCATGTCGCTCTCGTACATCTCCTCGGCTTCGCTACGTGTCGGCGCATTCGAAGGCGACAACGTCGTCGAGTGGACGCTGCCAAAAAGGTTGGGCAGAAAGTAGTCGTCAGCCGTCTTCTTCGTCGCGTAGGCACGCCGCCATGGACCGAGGCGCCGGGCGGCCGCTCGCACCTGCCACATGTGCTGCTGCTCGCAGTTGTTCGGATATAAACCGGATTCGGATTCGAAGCTCCGTTGGGTTGGGACCGATGGCGCACGGCAAGACTCCAACTCCATCGACGTCGTCACGTGAGCATTACACAAGACGCACATCAAACATTATCACTGGACTGCGCGACGAACAATGCGGCATAAATACGGTCGTCAGCCTAGTCCCAGCGCACCACATTGCGGCTGCGCTTGGCCACAGCCACATGGGATTTGGACGACGACGTGCGTATAAGGCTAGCTTGATGGATGATCTTGCGCGGAAGGCCCGTCGACAAGATGCACGAGCACGTGGGGAGCTTTCGGATGATGCGGATGGCGGGCAGCATACCATCGCTGTAGAGTTCGTCACAGTCGCCTACGTCAAGATGAGCGCCATCCCAGCGGGCCCACGTGTCAATCGATGTACCTGCGGGATCGGCATGGGTGTCGCGCTTCCATTGCACCACGCAGCAGCCTTGGGCGCTCTCCCATGTTCGCCGCGCCGCGCCATTGAATGACTAGCAAGCAGCAGTACACGCGTTGAGGGGACGAGGCATGTAGATATGTCTACCTGGAGGCGGCGCTTCGGGTGCAGGTACATGGGCGCGACGTCTGCGCGGCCGACGTAGCACGAGCTGCTCAAGGCGCCCATAAAAGCTCTTCGGAAAATGTGGTCCCGTCGTGACTGGACGTTTGTATGCTGTTGAAGCGAGCGAGAAGATTGCAACGGTGATCTGGTCATGGCTATCCGTACCCGTAACCGGAGGCTCTCGGTATCTAAGATCTTATCAAGCGCTCTTTATTTAAAGCGTGATGTGGGATCGAAGTTCGAAGTCGTGGCGGTGTGACTGATGCACCGCAAAATGGGTTAATGGGTTAAATAACTTCAGGATTTCCGATCCGAGTCATCATCCCAGCAGGCGGCGGCTTGCATCAAAAACACCACCGCACTCGAGTCATATGCTATCGTAGCGAGAGGTTCGCAAAGCACCACATCGTCTTCGAAAAGGTGGCGAGGAGGGCAAGCCGACCTTGCTGCGGACGAGTGGTCGGCCTTGAAGCACTGAAAAAGTACATCTGGATCTCGTTGTTTGCAGGTGCAGGTTGTCCATGTTGCAGCCCGACGACACCAACGCGACACCCTGATTGCTTTCCACGCAATGAATCGTAACTTCTTTGGCAAAGAAGAGACACAGAGGTCCACAACTGAGCTCCCCAACGTCCTTCTGCAACCAGCTTCAATTGGTGCCAGTGGCGACTGGGCGTTCCACGGAAGGGGCACACAACAACGGGCTCATCCCTCTTTGGAGCGATCTCGCACGAGCGATAGCACCAGTGGCCGCTGACCTCAAGAGCGAGTGTGGTTTGCATCGCAGTCTTGTTTCTGCTACACATTGGGTTGCATCATTTCCAGCGCTCTTGTACGAAGGCTGAAGAGGATGAGTATACCGCAATTAACGTCGTTTAACGCCTATTTGCGTTGTTTAACGCATGCGCCCTGTGGCCTCGACTCGAAGTCGGGATTCGTGTGCTGTCCATATACACTTGGTGTTTCTATGGAAAGTCAAAACTACGACGGCGAAGTTGATGACATGATGACTCCGGCGGCGTTAAACGCGGTCGTATACAACGCGCCAGTCAAGCGCGATGCTGCTGCGACATGTAGAAAAGGACACCACCAATCAATCGCGGCGGATTTGATTTTTTTGAAGACTTGGAGTTTGTATCGAAAAGCGCGCGATTGCATTTAATTGCAGCTGCAGGCCGGGCGCCAGACGTGGGCAGTACACGGGTTCCGACGCTCCATCTCGGCGCCAGAATGGACTTTGAGGATTTGTCGTCGATGCAGATCGAGGACCTCGGCAACTTCCTCAACGAACAGATGACCGACGGCGACGGCGACTCGTGGAAAGGCTTCTCGCTCGGCTACTCGGACGAAGACGGTTCGCCATCGCGGCCACAGGCGCCACCGACGACGACGACGATGGCCCAGGACTTTCACCAGGCGACGGCGTCACTCTTGAGCCTCCCGAATTCGCCGTACCCGACGAGCTTCCAGTCGCGCCAGGTTATCGAGTCGGCGATGCTCGAGTTCAACGAGTTCTCGCTCGAAGACAAGATTGCACAGCACACCAAATCCAAGATCCATTCGATGACCAACTTTGAGCCCTTCCCGATGCATGGCATGCCGCCGCTGGCTTCAATGCCCCACAAGCCACAGTCTCATCCGCAGCCGACAATGCAGTCCGCCGCTGAGCCGCGCGAGCAAGTGCCGGCCCACGCACCGCAATGGTTCAAAGCGGCGAGCCCAGTGGTGTCGTCGCATGCGTCGACACCAACGCACTCGTCGCACCCGTCGCCGACGACATCGACGACCAACACAATGAAGCGGTACGTGCTTAGGCCATCTTATTCCAGTGGCTTATGGCGTGTAGACCGTTCGCGACCATGGAGGCCTGCAGCAGCGACAGCTGCAGCACGATTGCTAACAACGACGACGACGACCGCGGGTACCGGAAAAAGTCGCGTGAAAAGATGCGTCGACAAGAAGTCAACGTCAAGGTTGGACAAGTCTCATTGAGCTCTGACGGTGCTCATGCCTTCGTTCTCCCACGTAGTTTGACGAGCTCACAAGCCTCTTGGGCATGAACGACAAGGTCCGGAAGAGCGCCGTGCTCCAAGAAGCCGTTAGCTGCATCAAGAGTCTGCGCCGCGAGCGCGACGAGCTCCGCAACGACCGCGACCGGCTCAAGCAAGAGCTGAGCAAGCTCGCGTCCTGCTTGCAGTACTCGCACATGGGCTCGATGGCCGCCGCAAACGCGATGGTCATGTCGCAGCAACTGCCGCCGCAGCACACCGCACCCATGCCGCCTCCGGTATCTCTCTTTCCATCGACGATCGAACGATTTGAGATCTTACCAACGCGCGTAGGGCGTCTGCTTTCCGATTGGCGCTAACTTTGGTTTCAACTTTGGCTCGTACATGAACCCGGCGCCGTCGGGGGCATCGACGCCACTGGCCATGTGCCCGCCGATCGCGCCCAAGCTCGAAGCGTCGCCGGGTGTCGGCAAGCCGCCGTCGTCGGCCACCAATGCGGGTGGCAGCACGCAACTTTGAATGGCGCATCGTAGACCCATAGATATTGTACTTGGACGAGCTTCGTACGCGCTCGTAGTGGAAGGAGCCTGGCGAGCAACCACGCCGTATTTTGTATGTACATTGCTTTGCATGATCGCATGTTGCTGGATTGTTCCGTGGGGCATCGCCTGGGTGAGCGTGGCTGGCCACATTGGCGAGGCCGATTTGACGCGAGCAGCTGGCAACGCCCACCGTGGACGACGTTCTTGAAGCTGTCGACGACAGTTGGATACGACGCTGCCGTGGCGCAGAGGCCAAAGATTCGCGCATCGACGATTGCCGACTGGACAAAGCATGCATCGTGTCCCATCTCGACCATGCTCGGCAATGGGACGGTGCTCGCCGGCGCGGGTGTCGAGGTGTCACAGCTGGAAAAGTCACACAGTAGCGTGACCGGATGAGCGACAGTCGACGGTCTCAGGCTCATGGCGCAGCACAGACGCTAATGTGACGACGTCTTGCGCTCGCCGCCAAGAAGGCCAGCCGGGAGTGTTGAAGTGCCGGCCGCCGGCGGAGACGTTGCAGCTGACGCTAACCTCAGCGCGTCCGGCGTCCTACCTGCCATTCGCACCTGCTTCAACCGATGGCGCCTGGCGTGGTCATGATGCGCCAGCGAGAGCGCGTTCATACCATGTTGATACAAAGGCGATCATCCGTCATGCACGTGCGCGGCCATCATTGCGGCGCTGGGGTTTCGCTCTGAATTGATAATCCGGTTACTGTCCGGATACCATTCGTGTTCTGTGGTCATATTCCAAATGAGCGCCCACGTAGACGATCTCCTCTTCGACGACGACGACGACGATGACATGGGTACGTGGCGCCCGGACGCGCGGGGCATGATGCATCGTATCGCGAGGTAGGTGGTGTCGAGGCCATGCAGGGCTTTGTCCACCCGCCGGCGACGCTTCTTCAGCCGCCTGCGTCCATCGTCCAGCCACCCGCGTCGCTCGTGCAGCCACCAGCCTCGCTCGTGCAGCCACCAGCCTCGCTCGTGCCGCCGCCGGCCTCGCTCGTGCAACCACCTGCGTCGCTCGTGCAGCCTCCTCCGTCGCTGATCCAGCCACCGGCGTCGATCGGCATTACGGCGCCGCCGATCGCAGCCACGCCCATCGCGTACCAGCCGTCGCCACCAACACAGGCGCTTCCGGACGACAAGCTGCGCAAGCTCTTCCAAATCATTCAGACGCGTATCAAGGACAAGTACGTCCCTATCTACAACGAAGTCAAGGCGCAAGGCACGCCGTTGAAGGTCCATCCTTGGCCTGTCCTTCGACACCCTTTCTCATCGTCATCCTCTCTAGTCGGACATGACGGCGATCCTCGAAGTCGTCAAGAAGCACATTGGCGAGCCAATGCTCATGTCACTCATGCAAGAAATCGGCGGCTTCCCCGTACGAGCCTATCTCAATGGTCCATCCTATAACCCCACGCCTGTCTAGATGAACCGCGTCGTCGGTGGTTTTGGCGACGTGCTCAAGACGGAGCCCGCGCGGTTTGCGTCACCGCCGCTCCAGCCCGCGCCGACCGTGCGCACGCCGCCGGCCGAGCCCGCGCGTCCGTCCGCAAACGAGTCGGAGAAGATTCGCTTTGCGCGTCACTTGCTCAGCCATGCGTCGACGTGTCTCGTGACGACGGGCATGTGCCAAGTACGTCGCCGCGCGTGCTTTCTCAAAGTCAACTCAAGAATGCCTTGTAGATCAAAAAGTGCGATGATATCAAGCGCTTTTTCAAGCACAGCACTGCGTGCAAGCTCGGGCGCGACTGTTCCCACTGCGAGCAACTGCGCACACTGGTCAAGCTCCACGCAGAAGACTGCTCGGTGGTGACGCAAGGCCACTGCCCGATTCCGTTCTGCAATGACATTCGCAGAGCCGCCGGTACGTCCCATTGTTGCGACGCAAAATGACACGTACTGCAGCCAACCGCGGTGGGCCCAAGACCCCAGTCAAGCCCACGTCGCCGCCCAAGACCATCACCAAGCTGCAGCAGCGCCAGGCCGCCGACGAAGACGACGCGCCGTCCAAGAACCAGCCGGCGAAAGCGAGTCCGCCGCCACCGAAAATGGCGCCGCAAGCCGCCGAGTACGGTCGGATCCTGCAGCTCATTTTGCACTGCAAAAACTGCTTGGTGCCCAAGTGCCCATACAATGGCTGCATCGAAGCGAAGAGCCACATGCTCGAGATGCGGAACCCGGAAACGAATGTGCCCCGGGCGCAAACGTTCCGCCAAGTGTACAAGCACTACGAAGCGTGCAAGAACGACGCGTGCCCCGTGTGTACCATGGGTCGCCAGCAGCTCGCAATGGACGCTGCGCCGTCGACGCCCGCGGGCAAGATCACACCGCGCAGCACGCCGACGCTCCACGTACCGACCGCGAGCTCGCCGCGGTCGCCAAACCACGGCATCGCCAAGAAGAAAACCCCGAAGAACCCGACGACGATTGCGCGGCCGGACCCGACCAAGTCGATGTATGGCATGCCGTCGGCCATCGACACGTCGTCGTCATCGATTGCTATGCACAGTGGCACCGAGTACGAGGACCTCGTGCCGACAAACGCGAACGATCTGCGGCGTGAGGCCGACGTCCTGACCCACACCAACATTGATCCGACGCAGGAGAAGCGCATTATGCTGGCGGGCGTCCCGAAGGCCAACTTGCTCGCGTCCAAGAAGGAAACGTGGATGTACAGCGACGTGTTCCAGTCGCACGTGCTCCAGCAGACAATGCAGAAGGCGCTTTTGCAAGCCGGTGTGCACGCAACGGACGAAGCGAGCGACATGATGGGTCTCGCGTTGCACGAGTACCTCAAGCAGATTCTCGAGGAGATGGTCCACGTGTCCAAGCAGCGCTGTGATAGCCACGCCCTTTTGCTGCCGTCGACCAACGGCGCCGCGACCTTGGTAGGATGCTCCGGTTCGAAATGGAGCTTTCTCATGTCTCTGGTAGACGGCCGTGGACATCCTCAAGGCGAGCACGGACGATTCGTTTGCAAAGTTGCGCGATCTCGACTTGGGCTTGCGCGCCGAGCTGCTCGAAGAGGCCAAGAAGGAGGAGTCGACCGAGAAGGACAAGGGCGGGAAGCGCCGGAAGGCCAAGGTGGCCAAGACCAGCGCAACGTCGGCGCCGAACCGCAGCGTCTTGGACGGCAAGGACGAGGAGGACATGGATGTCGAAGAACTCGCGCGGAAAGACCTCAAGGCCAAGCTCGTCTTAGAAGGCGCGGTGATTGATGGCCGTGTGAATGCGTCGATCTCGGTGCGCCGCCCCAAGCCGGTCGAGAACCAAATTACGATGGAGGACGCCGAGTACTGGCTGCGGTCGCAAAAGCCGTACGTCGACGCCAAGCTCTTTTGCCGGGCTCAAGCCGCGCGCATCCAGACCAAGTCGCTGCAATAAGCACTGAGATCCTCTGCGCGAAGATCGCCAGCAGTCATTCTTCTAGGGGTAGGGTGCGCTGCCGGATTCGACCCGGTATACAAACTCTCATACAACCCGATCAGACGGCAGGTTTATTTTTGGGTTGTTACACTTTTTATTCCGACTGTTTTTTTTCGATACAAACAACAAGATACAATAAAATCCGAATAAAATACCAGGGGTCGGGGACCCGGCCACCTTTTCACGCGGTCGCTCTTCTTCGATGTTTGACTTGGTATTTGTATACTCGCCCGACACCGCGGCGTGTTTCTATTTTTATCTTGCGTTACGTGTCGCAAAAAAGGAGAAAATGGTGTTCAAAAAGGGGGTAACGGCACTGCGTACGACAAAAAAGGTGGACGGAAACGTCGCTCACACTAGTGAATACTAGGGATGAGACCCCTTTTTGTCAGTGGCGAGGGGCGGAAGATCCACGTCGAAATTCGAAGTTTAAAAAGTCACTGGGACCGAGAGTGGTCTCATTTTAGCTTTGACGCTGCCGTCCATTTTTAGCGTCGGATCTTCCTAGCACGATGGGCCGCAAGAAGATCAAGATCCAGCGCATCGACGATGACCGCAACCGCCAGGTAGACAGTACATGCTGCCTGCGGCCATGGCTGAGCTGCGTGTAGGTGACCTTTGCCAAGCGCAAGACGGGCATCTTCAAGAAGGCCATGGAGCTCTCCAAGCTCTGCGACTGCGAGATCGCGCTCATCGTGTTCGACTCGAACGATAAGCTGTACCAGTACTCGAGCACGAGCGTCGACCAGATCTTGCTCAAGTACACCGAGTACGGCGAGCCGTACGAGACCAAGGACAATAGCGACGTATGCATCGAGTCTCATGTTGCAGCAGCTCATGATGCGCTCTGTAGTACGACGCGCTCTTTGGCGAAAACAAAAAGAAGCCAGGCGACAACAGCAGCAACAACAATAGCCCGTACGGTGGCCTCTCGTCGCACGAGAGCTCGCCCGCGTACTCGAGCATGGGCACGCCCAACGACCGCATGCTGCCGCATGGCGTGTCTCTCGGCCTCACTAACGACGTATGTGCCATGACACGACGCGACCATCTCGCTCACGCCTTTGCCCATGTAGCCCGACCAATATGTCCTCAACAACCACCGGAACAACATGGCGAAGAAGCGAACGCCGAAAGGATTTCAGCAATTGCTGCAGAAGAAAGACATGCAGTACCTTCCGCCGCAGCTCTACCAGCACAATGTACGCTCTTTCTAAAGCACGCTATGGTCGCTCATGCAACATGCTAGCTCGGGATGCTCTCGTCGATGCATGGCAGCAACCAAGGCATGCTGGGCGCGCTCCCGAGTCCATCGAATCTGCACGGCATGCTGCCGTCGCCCACGAGTGCGTGTGTCTTGTACTAGCTCGACAACGAATCTCACGCTGCATGCTACGTAGCTGCCAACATGCTCCTCCGCCACGACTTTAGTCCGCAAAACGGCGACGGCCCGCCCGGCGGCCACATGCACCTCGGGTCCATGGGCAACGAGATGGGTGACGACAAGAGCGTGCTGGGGCTCAACCTCGGCCCAAGCGACTTTGGCCACCACAAGCAGTCGAACAATATCGCGTACCGCGACGCAGCCTCGGCCGAGAGCCACCATGCGCACATGCAACAGCAGCAGCAGCAGCATAATCGGAACGACAGCATGCGAGGCCACTTTGAGCAACAGTTGCGCGCGTCCGACGAGATGGTATACGACGACCGACGCAGTCAAGGACACGGCAGCAACATGCACCAGCACGGGTATGACGGACGCATGGGCCATGACGTGGGCGATCTGGACGACGACGACGACCGCGGGCGAAAGCGACCGCATCCCGAGTCGGCCAAGCGCGGCCTCGTGCTGGACCCGGACGCGGTCTCGAAGCGCACGCGCGTCGCATCAATATAACGACGCGCCTTTTGTTGCGTAGCGACGTATTCGTGGTAGATGATGAGAGCGAACACCCTTAATATATATTCGTGGCACCCGTCCTACATGCTCGCGACGGCGGCTTCAATGTCGTCCGCTAGCTCCTGGAACTTGTTCCACTGGTCGATCGAGAGCGAAATCCCCTTGCTGCCGGGCATCTGAACCCCGTCCTTGTCGTAGAACTCGCGGAAGTCAATGAGAAGCATGCTCTTGAACTTGCGGATCGTCGCCCGGCGCTTCGTCGAGACCTAGTTATCGTCAGGATGGGCTACTAGTGGAAGAGGAGGCAACGTACAGCAAACGCAATCGAGCCCTCTTCGGCGCCCTTGAGCTTGGCGTGGGCGTAGTCGCCAGCAATGTCGTCCTGGACCTCGGCGATCGCCGCGTGGATGTCGGCCGTGAGCTCGGCAATCTTCTTGTATTGGTCCTTGGAGAACGAGATGCCCTTCTTGCCGGGCTTGCGTTCGCCGCCCGCGTCGTAGTACTCGCGGACGTCGACGAAGATCGTGTTCTTCCACGAGCGCACGGTGACCTGCTTCTTGGCCGAGAGGTCAAACGCGATCGAGCCGTCCTCGAGCTTCTCGCCCCGCGTCGTCTTGGTCTTCTTCACATGCTCGTCCTCCCCATGTGCTTGGGCATCGCCGTCGTCATCCTCCTCACGCGCACGCTTCGTCTGGCCGACGGGCGCTTGCTTCGTCTGGCCGACGGGCGCTTGCTTCGTCGCGGTCGTTGGCTTGGTGAGTTGCTTGGAGGCCATGGTCCGAAAATGACCACCGCAAAAATGCAAAAATCGAGATATAAAAAGAAATCAAATTGCTAAAAAAAGACGCGGGAAATCAGTTTATTGCCGAAATGTATTTCCTGACCTTGGGCTTTGACTGCTCCTACGACTACTCCTCCCCATCAAGACGTTGCTGACCATGCACTCGTACGCTTCTGGTCTTATGCAGAGTTGATGGTTGATCTCTGTTGGCGGTCGAGGCCGCCACATCCTCGTACCGTATGGCGACCACCGGCCAGGCTGCCGATCGTACCAATCCTGCAAGCTGCTCCTAGCACTGCGCAGAGCCACAAACGATAGCAAATGACAGCAATAAACTGGTTGATGTTATGGTTGCCGTGGGATCTTCACTTGGGTTCGTTGACCAAAATGGCGGCGGCGACCTTGCGGTCCTCGGCGTTGAGGATGTTGAAGGTTGCGCACGCGTTAAACTAGACAATGCATAAGTCGCACGATGGCTGGACGATGCTACTACCGAGTCCAAGTACTCGACGACAATCCCGTTGGACTTGAGGTACTCGACGAGCGACGGTTCAAGCTGCTTGGCGATGCGCTTGCCGCAGCCGAGGACGAGGATTTCTACGCCATATCTTCTCGCCCGTATCCATGCGACAACACAAGCGCCATACCGATCGGTGGGTTGGCGACCGTAAACACGTTGAGGCTCTCGATCGTGATCTCGTCGAGCGACCGCGGCTTCCACATCTAACGTGGGGTGGTATACGTAATGGCGTCGAGGCGACTGCGTACCATGGCAATGTTGGGCATGAGAGCGACAGACCCGCGCATGTTCTAGACCGGCAAAGCTCGGCGAAAGCGGCGAGAGACGGCGAACGTACCACATCGTTGACAACGAAGCCGCCGTCGTCATACTCGGAGATCGAGACCTTGGCCGTACCGGTCATCATTTCCTAGAGGTCGCGCCCATGAGCCGCATTGCACCGCATGCGTCTCGCACCTTGTGCATGTCGTGGCCATACTGCAGCCAGCGGACGCCCACACCGCGCTGGAAGGACGCCGGCGCGCTTCGGACCACTCGGCGCAACATGGCAGCGTGTGAAAATGGCAACCGGATACGCGGGTAGATATGCCGGATATGGCGACTTGGTCTTGCAAGGGTTGTGTGTTTGTCTGTCAACACGGCCATGCTGCCAGTCCGAATCTGGTACTGGGTGAATGCGACGTGCCGCCTTCCTCGCCGTCGCCGCCGGCGCGACGAGCCTCCACAGCATGGCGTACGTCGACAACACGGCCGAGATCCCGGTTGACGCATCCCGCTTCTGCGCTGGCGGCGGCGCTTTTGGCCTCTACGAGCGCCAGACCGGGTGCGCGCTTGGCAACTGCGACTGCTTTCCGGTTCTCTTTGCGTGCGACCCGTCGCTGGGCAATGGCCTTGGCGAGTGTGCACTCTCGGGTACGTGTCAATGACGCTCTGCGCGCGCTAAACAACGGCGTAGGCGTCGGCGAACTCCTGCTTGTCCTCGCCTTTGTCGTCAACCTTCTCGTGCCCGCGCTGTACGTGCTCTCCCACTTTTACCACGAGAACGACGCTGTTGACGCCCGCGCCGTGCTCCACGAAGAGCGCAGCGCCCGTCGACCGACCCTCGATCACATGCCATCCGCCATCTCGGACGCGGCCGAGCCCAAGGAGGACCTGGAAGCGTACGTACCATCTGCGATCCCTAATTCTAGCGCTCAATTGATGGTTCACATAGGACGTACTTTGACATGACGCAAGTATGCAAGCGCTGCCATGCGATCGTTGGCGACTGATGCATCCTGCAACTAGTTTCGCCGCGCGATCCCAGACAAGGTATTTGGTCTCGACAAGACGGCCAAAATCAAGCTCGAGGTTATGTCCAAAGGTACAATGTCGTATCGATCCATCGTTTGGATAGTTTGGATAGCTCACATGGCTACTATCGGATAGGCTGGATTCAGTTTATCTTCTTCTTCATGCTCACAGCTTTCGCCGTGTGCCTGAGCCTCTTTGCGATTTCGGCCGATACCGTCGAGACGACGATTCCCTTCTCGTCGCTCAACGCCACCGTAAGCAACAAGTCGACGACATTCGTGTTTGACGCGGCCGCCGCCAACGCGACGCTGCCCCAAGGCACGCGCTTCGTATCGCTGCACGGCGACCTCTGCCAGCTGCCGCCATCGCCCGGGGACCATGTGCTCAACGTGAGCTACACGGTCTCGGCGCGCATCGACGGCGGGCTCTTATTTGACACGTTCTCCCACGACCGACTCCTCGTGCGCTGCGTCTGCTCGGACGTGTCGTGTCGCCCGGTCGCCGGCAGCGAAGACGCATTGGTCTCGATCCCTTGGTTCCAAGATGCCTTCCAAGTCATTGGCCACGACGTGCAGCACGCCATTTCGCTCCACCTTCATGTGCACACCAACACGACGCTGCATGGTCGCCCAGAGCTTGTGCTGCTGGCGCACCATGCGCGGCTCGAGCGACTGATTGAGATCGTCAAGTGGCTCTTCCTCGTCGCCGACGTTGTCGCGCTCGGCTACTGGAGCTACTTGAATCGGCACCGCGGGTGGCGCCGGCTCCTGCCAGAGCGCCGCCTCTTGTATATTTCGCTGCTCTGCAACGCGCTCGGGTCGAGCCCCGTGCTGCACTTTACCCAAGCGTTCCTCTCGAGCACGTGGAGCTACCTCTTTGCCCAAGCGTGGGCCGCGGGCCTCGCCGGCGCGTGGCTCCTCAGCCTCCTCGTGGCGATCGACCTGCAGCGCCAGCGCACCTTTCGCTGTTCGTTTTTTGCACTCAAAGTGACGGTGCTGGTCGTGGCCATGAGTGTTCGCGGCGTCTCGTTCTACGCGCTCCCGAACGCCATCACGTCGCTCCTCGATCTCTTCCTTGCGGTGCTGGCCATGGTGCTCTTCCGCGGCGTCATGATGAGCGTGCGCAACGACCTGCGTCGCAAGGCGTACGCCGCGTCCCGGCCCGAGCAGCTCACGGCGCGCGTTCTGTACTTTATCGCGCTTCAAGTCACCTACGTCTACTTTTTTGCTGCGCTGTTTGCCGACCCGGTCCCAAAGGTCAAGGTGTACATGGCGAACGCACGGGTCCTCGCCAACCTTCCGATCCAAGTCATTGCCCGCGCCGCGACACTCGTCCTCTTTCTTATCTTCTTGCCCGTCAACAACAAGAAGCGACCGCAGCTCCTAGCGACGACGATGGTGTTTACGCGTGAGAACTCGCTGCATTTACCCTCCGTCAAGCGGTCCGTGTCCCAAGGCCATGGAAATGGCGCTTCGGCGCCGCCCGTCTTGTGCCTCGAGACCGCCTGTGGCCTCTACAACCTCTCTTGCCACGCGTACTATGCGATCCCGAATGCCAAGCACGTGTCGACGGACCTCGACTTGGACGTGGCGGCGGTGGCGCGGGACGGCCTCTCGGTCATCGCCGAGCTCTTTGACGGACCGACCGACACGCACGCGCTCGTGTTTATCGATGCGAAGCGGCTATTGGTTGCGTTCCGCGGGACATTTAGCCGCCAAAACGCAGTCACGGACCTCGACTACAACTTTTGCGCGCCGAGTCTCTTTCTCGACCGGTTCCCGACGCTGCGCGTCCACCATGGGTTCTACGCCGCGTACATGAGCATTCGACCGCAGCTCTTGGCGATCCTCGGCGAGCACATGACGGATGCGCTGCAAGTGTTTGTGACGGGCCACTCGCTCGGCGGGGCACTCGCCACCATTGCAGCCTTTGACCTTGCGACGTCGTACCTCGTGACCGACGTCGTTGTCTACACGTACGGATCGCCGCGCGTCGGCAACCATGCATTTGCCCACGCATACAACTTGTTTGTACCGAGGACGTTCCGCATTGTCAACGACGCTGACGTGATTGTGGGCGGCCCCAAGCAAGCCGTCTTTGGCTGCTACTGCGTTTCGTCGCTCCGGTACAAGCACGTGGGCACGCCCGTGCTGCTCTCGGACCGCGCATGCGGCACGTTCTTGATCGACCCAAACATTGTTGAAATGGCCTTTATCGCCAAACTCCGCAGCAATGGCTTCTCCCACCTCTTGTCGGCGTACCGCATCAAGCTCGCGCGCGGCTTGAAGGCGACGCTGGCCGCGCATCCGCCACTAAACGAGACGACGCCGCTGAGTGTCGCATAAGCTACTGCAACAGTGCGTACACGGCGCTTGTAAAATGTTACATAGTAGGTTATGAGCGAGGTATTAGTAAGTGTTGTTGTCGACGGTCTCGTCGTGCGCACTGTGCCCCGGCTGCGTGGAGATGATGCTGCCGATTTTCTTAAATTTGGACATCTTGAAGGGCTCGGGCACGGGCGCTTGCTCGTTGAGGAGCTGCAGTCGCTTGTCTTGCAGCACGGACGCTTTGGTCTCGCGGGGCATCGGTAGTTTCTACGAAAATCATGGCATTTCGGATATGTTGCGAACGGGATCAGTATGAAGCCGTACGCCCTTGATCTTCATGGCCGCGAGGTCCGGGTAGTCGATGTCGTCCGAGGTAAAGTTGGTATGACGGGCTTGAATGAGCATCGCAATGTCTTCCGAAGCTCTACAGGATGATGGTGGTCGGTACCGCCATTTTCGTGTGGAGGTACGTACTGTGTCTTGATGCCGTAAATGACGTCGTTCGTGGGCGTGTAGCCCACTTGCTTCTTCACGGGCGCCTTCTCGCGAATGTCGGGATGCTCGTTGGCATACATGCGTGCGTCCTTGGCATTGATGCAGCTAGGTACCGCTTAGCCGACTAGAACAACATGCCTGACGAGTGTACCCGACGGCCAAGGCCCTTCGGTTCGTCTCGACAAAGCTGCGAGACGATTCGACGGCCGGCGACGGGGTTGCTTGCACCCACTTGCCCATGACCTGCCCGGCGTCTTCCGGGTCGCGGATGATGGGGTAGCCGTAGACATGGTCGGTGTCGCGCGCGTCCGGGAGGTCGTACGAGGCCCGCCGGACGTGGCCGATCGTGTGCTTGATCATGGTCCGTCGCAGCGGCAGGTTCTTCGGGCCATTGTGCTTGGCCATCGCAGCGAGAGAGAATCAAAGTGGTGACTGGCAACTCAACTTGGCAACTGCAACGTGGCGTTGGCAACCCAACGGTACTTTCCATTCTATAAATAACTCGCGCTTTAATTGGCTATATTAAAAGTGTTGTTTGATTGGTGCAAAAGACGAAAAATAGCAAGACGGCTGCTTTGATTGGCTATAGAAGGCGTGCGTCCGATTGGGCAACACGCTTCGGCGAATTGATTGGCACGGGAGCTGGCCGATTCGCAGCGTTGCGCCAGATACAAATCGGTTGAAGATGAGCAAGGCGACCAAGAAGATGGAGGCCCAGCTGGCCAAGCTCCAGGGCAACGAGTGGGACTCGGACGAGAGCGACCGCGAAGAAGCCCCGGCGCCGGTCTCCAAGGCCGCCAAGAAGAAGGCCAACAAAGCCGAGAAGGCCAAGGCGGCGGCGTCGACCACCGAGACGACCGATGCGGCGCCGATTCAGTTCGAGTCGCAGGTCGACTTTGTCGAGCTCTCCAAGAAGACCAAGGCCAACCTCTCGAAGGCCAAGACGCCGGTGCCCGCGGGCGACTCGGCCGTCCTCTACATTGGCCGCATTCCGCACGGCTTTTACGAGAAGCAGATGAAGGGCTTCTTTGGCCAGTTTGGCGGCATCAAGCGCCTGCGCGTCTCGCGCAACAAGAAGTCGGGTGCGTCCAAGCACTACGCCTTCATCGAGTTTGAAGACCCGGAAGTCGCCGGCGTCGTCGCCCACACGATGGACGGCTACCGCCTCTTTGACCGCGTCCTCGCCTGCGCTGTCGTGCCCACCGAGAAGCTCCACGAGCGCATGTTCATTGGCGCGAACCGCAAGTTCCGCCCGCTTCCGTACAAGAAGATGGCGATCCGTGCGCACAACGCGCCCAAGTCGTTCGAGCAGCAGGAAGCCGCAAACGCGCGCCTTATCGCCAAGGAGGAAGCCAAGCGCGCCAAGCTCGCGGCCATCGGCGTCGAGTACACCTTTGCGGGCTACGCGGGCGCCTTGCCGGCCAAGGCAAGCCACGTCCAGTTTTAGATTCTACTATTCGTTCCATATTCCCACAACATATTACTATGAAATATTTGAAATTGATACATTCGTGGTGTGCGGCAAAGTGTCCATCATGGACGAGTCGCATTGGTGGATTCTCGCAAAGGTTTAATTTAACATGCTTGAAATGCTCGAAATGCTCGAAAATGCTCGATTGGTCGCGTGTTACCTAACAGTCGCACGCACAAGCGACGAGTGATGGCGGCACGATCGTACGTGGCCGAGCTCTCGGCGCTCTTTGCCGCCGACCCCGACATGTACGACGTGGCACTAGCGCGATGGCTCATCCTGCGCGTAGCGATGAGATTGGCATTATCTACCTCGAGGACCCAGCCGAGGCGTTCGTGCTCGAGGACCACAAGCTTGGGATTGCGCTCGACATGCTGCCAGCGCTGCACCGCGAGGCCAAAGACGTCTTCTTCGCCGCACGTCGATCCAACGACGTCGACAGCATCCGCGAGGCGACGCGCTGCATGCTCCTCGTGTGCGCCGACTTTTACACGGCTTGGAATGCCCGGTGCGCATCCATGCCCTGCCCATCGATACCAACATGAATATATCGGATGATGTAGGAAGCAACTGCTCGTCCAGGGGCTCTTGTCGCTGCGTGACGAGATCACCTTTATGAACGTCGTGCTGAGCCACCACTCGAAGAGCATCGACACGTGGGCCCACCGGTAACGTCGGTCGTGTTGATTTTGACGCGCATGCATCCGGCGAGTAGGCGCTGGGTTCTGGACCGACTCGTGGTGACGACGCTCACAGCGTCGTTCTTGAGCGACGAGCTGGCGCTGTGTCTTCGCCTTACCGAGCAGTACCCGCGCAACTACCACGCCTGGTCCTACCGCTACCGCGTCTGCTGCCACTTGTCGCCCGAGGCCGTATGCTCCAACGCTCCTGGCTACAGATGATGCAAATACTCACAACGTTGTGTGTAGCTCGCGCAGGAACTCGATACGAACCGAACGTGGTGTGAGCGCCACGTCGCCGACCATTCGGGCTGGAACCACCGGCAGCTGCTGCTTGCGCGCCTCCTTCCATCCGACACACTGCTTGCGGACGAGTTTGCCTTTCATACACCCCTACTGCGTCTCTTTCCTGGCCGAGAAGCGCTGTGGTGCCATCGCCGAGCGATTCTGCATGCCTTCCTCACGACTGCTCCGCGACGGTGCGGAGCGGCCCTGGAAGCATGGTGCGCACGCGCGACGGTGTCAACAGGCCGCGTGCATCTGAGCGACGCGCCGGTCGACGACGCAACTCTCGAGTTTGTTGCACGCGAGCTGCGGCTCGCTGCCCAGTTGCCGGACGCCAACGGTCTTGAAACGCGGTACCTCGTTTACGCGCTTGAAGCCGTCATGGTACGAGTACAATGCGTCTGCGTCGCGGTCGCAGCTGACGATCTTACTCTGTAGATGGGCGAGTCGATGTCGCCGCACGTGCGTCAGCTCCACGCGGCACTCTGCCAGACATTGGTTGCCGCGGACCCGACGCACAGCAACCTGTGGCAGGCCAAGGCACATCTCCCGTCGCTCTGCACCAAGATCTGAGTGTCGTAGTCGTGCTCTTAGCATTAGCGTGCGTGCTCGATCGAAGTAGGACTGTCGTAGCAGCCTACAAACATAAGACTATGAAGCAAACAGAAGCTATGCTGCTGTCCTAGAGTGCTTGCACAGTGCTGACGAATGGTTCACATGCCAGTAGTTTTGAATGAATTGTGCTACCTGGACCGTGCTGGTGCCACGTCATTTGAAACTTAAATGAAGGGCAAACAGAACTTAATTGAACGACAAGTGAGGATGGGATCCGCAGCTGACGTCGGTGATGGCCGCGACCGCAAGGACGAGGGTGTATGATACATGTGTAGTACGAGACGACGATACGAGCGCTCAAGAAAAGCCTTGCGGACGCGCGGAACCAACAGCTTCGCGCCGAGACGGCGCTGGCCCGCACCCAGCGCGACCTCGCGGCGGCGCCTCGGGTCGACGCGACGACCGACACAATTCTGTGCGAGGTACACGGTTGTAGTGGCAGAGTTGACCAGTTTCTCCATCCCGTGTGGCATAGATTGCTGCGTGCACCGAGGAACTCCGTGCAGAGGCGCAAGGGTCGACGGCCCATGCACTCAACTCAACGATCGCCCGCCTTGGCGCGTTGCAGCTCACGGTTGCTGCTGCACAACAGCGCCAACATGCAGTACGCGCTTCGACCTTGTTTTGTCTTTGGATGCGGACTACACTGGCTTTACGTAGCACATTGTCGCGCTTGAGACCGACGTCGCGCACCTGCGAGCCTCCATTGAGCACCAGCCACGACGCAAAGACTACCAAGTAAGCGAACCGTTGATGACCGCTGCCTGTCTTCACGACTCCACACCTTTTAGATGACCCAGCTGGAAAACCAAGCGCTTAGCCAAGAGAATCTGCGCCTGCGGCGCGAGCTCACCGCGACCCAGGCCCCGGCCGCGCCACCGTCCATGCCCGTTGACACGCAGCGCGCGATGCGGCGCGACAAGCTGTTGAAAAAGCTGCGCGTGCAAACGAGTCGGAGGGGCGATGCGATAGCAGGCGACATTGTCCTCGATGGCGATATCATTCTGGACAACATTATGCGCCAAAAGGTGGGTTTGCTCTGCATCGACATGATCGTCGACATGAGCCAGCGAGTCGGGAATCCACGCGTCGCCGAGCTGCCTCGCTACATTGCCAAAATGGCGCACACGTGCGCAACGATCCCGCGCCTTTTGAAGTTTGCGAATTGCGTCGCGACGGCACTCGGCGCACCTGCTCGTTGCGAGCTCCCGGATCTGGACGCTCTGACCACAGACTTGGTGCACTTTCGCCGTGACTACGAAGCGCTGCAGCTGGCGATGGAGCCCCCTGGGAGCACGATCCACGCGCATTTGGTCGACGTGATGAAGGCGCTCAACGTGACGACGCTCGCCGCCATGGTGCCGGCGATCGTGGTATTGTCCATCTTGCCTTCTCAAGGTACTATAAGATCTGGTAGGAAATGCGGTCGCTGTTAGTGACACAGCGCGAGTTTGCCGCTGCGCTGCGTCAGCTCCTTGGGCTCGCACGTGGCGCGACGACGAAAGACATCCTCGACGTCTTGGGCCGGTACTTGACGACGATTGGCCTCCGTCGCCACGATGCGGAACCGTGACATGCACTTCAACTTGGGACAAACCCGACGTTTTACCCGTGTAAAACCGACCACCGTCATTCCCATCCTTCAACTGTGATGACTCGCCTTGAAGAGAGCCGCCTGGAACGCAGGCGTACATAGTACATACAGGAGACTCCGTCTGAAAGAGTTGATGTGCATTGGTGCAGGTCGTAACGCCACCTACACCCTTGCATCGTTTTGGGCGCATTTCGGTTTTCCCCAGTATTACATTTCACAGGTCGTCCTGGTTGCAGCTGGCAATATCCGATTTGACGGTAAACCACCGCGTTGAAGTGGACGACCGTCGGGCAGTTGAGAACTTGCAATGTCGTGTGGAAGCCAAGGCATCGTCGTCTTCACGCTCGGCCTGCTCACGGGCACGGGCACGACGCTGTACGTCGACGCGCTGCGATGCCACGTCCTTATGCGTCATGTAGCATGTCCAAGGTCATGTACAACATCGACTCGATCGGCAGCGACGGGCTGCTCAAGAAGTTTGAAAAGCCCATTTTCCAGACGTGGCTCATGTTTGCTGCCATGATCTTTGCGCTGCCGATCCAGTACCTCTACCACATGCATCTCGAGCGGCAATGGCACGCGGCCGGCGGCAAGATCACCGGCTGTACGTAACCCCTTCTTCTCTGTATTGGATGATGCTGTGTGCCTCATGCGGCGCGTCTAGTCAAGCGACCGGCGCGCGTGCCGATCAAAACGTACTTTGTACTGGCGCTGCCCGCAGCCTTTGATCTGATTGCAACGTACTTGGCCAACCTCGGGCTGCTCTACGTGACGGTCAGCGTCTTTCAGCTCATGAAATGCACAGTCATCATCTTTGTCGCGCTCCTCAAGGTGCTCGTGCTCAAGGACCACCTCCGTGGGTACATGTGGATTGGCATCGCCATGAACACGGCAGCGGCCATCATGGTGGGCTTTACAAGCTTCCAGGACACGGACGACCAGCTCAACAGCACCAACAACCCGGGCCTTGGCATCCTCATGATTGTGCTGAGCTGCTTTGTGCAGTCGGCGCAGTACGTCTTTGAGGAAAAGCTCATGGGCGACGGCATCGACACGGCGCCGCCGCTGATCGTTGTCGGTATGGAAGGCTTTTGGGGCCTCCTCTTCACGTCCGTCATCGTTTACCCGATCGCGTACTACCTTCCCGGCAACGACCTCGGGTCGTACGAGCGCTTTGACGACGCGCTCACGATGCTCGGCAATAGCCAAGCGGCGCAGATTGCCGCTGGGATCTTTGTGTTTGTTATCCTCGGCTACAACGTCTTTGCGGTCTTCGTGACCTTTCTCCTCGACTCGATTTGGCACGCGATCCTCGACAACTTTCGCCCGATCACGGTCTGGGGCACAGACCTCCTGCTTTTCTACGTCTTTACGCCCGGCACGTTTGGCGAGGCGTGGACGATCTGGAGCTGGCTCGAGCTCGGCGGCATGCTCATGCTCCTCCTCGGCACCGCGGTCTACAACGGGTCGATCCAGCTGCCCGGGCACTATTACGACGAGCCGGTCGACGGCGCAAGTGGCGCAACGACCACGATCCGAACGCCGCTCTCGATGGCGTCCTCGGCCTTGACGCGCTCCCCGATGATCTCCAAGCAGGCGTTCAAAGCGGCCGACATTGCGCGCCGGACGCCGGATCCGATGGACCGCGAGCGTGTCCGGAAAGAGTACATGACCGAGTTCCACAAGCTGCAGTCGGGCAAGGAGAGCTCGAGCGCGTCCAAGCGCCTCGATCCCGCGGGCCACTCGTACGGCTCGATGGAGACTTAGTCAACAAGACCTTGCCAAATGCCAAAACGTCGACTGTAGTTGCGTGCTCGTAGTCCGCCACGTGGAAGGACCATCATTCACACATTGACACAACCCCACACGCAGGCCGTGCAGCGCTTATGCACTCTGCGGCCGTCATCGCGGTCCCACGCCAAGCCGGCTTCTTTGCTACTCGTCGCATTGGATGGCCACGGCGGCGCGGGCCTGTATGACGGCGTTGGACCATCAGCGCGCGCCTATGTACTGATCGGCAGCAGCGCATCACTCGGGCACGAGCATGACGTCGGTTCGATGCAGCGCGGATCGCATAGCCGCGCAGCAGTCGATGGAGGAGAAGCGAAGCTGTCGGAAGCCAGCTCCAAGATACATGGTCGTACCGCGATCAGGTTGATCATCGAAGCACGGAGTAGCCATGGCGGCTGCGTCCATCGCTGTCAGTGCTTCCATAGGCGCCACAGCACTTGCACGTAGGAAATGCAAGAGGCCATTTCGAAGCGACTTGGCCAGCTGCCAAGGTGATCGCTGCATTACGGCGTGGTGTATAAAACACGTTCTGGCTTTCTTTAAACAGGCCGCGCGTTCTTTTAATCGGGCAAGATGCCTTGAAGGATGTGCTCGTGTGTTTTTTAAACTCGGCGGGGGTTTTAAAAGCCGTTGCGCCTCGATTTCATTGGCCAACACAGCGTAAAACGAGTGGCGCTATCCATGTTACGAGCGCGTGTCACGGCCGCTTCCTGCACCAGCATCGTTGGGGTCTGCGGGCCCCTCGACAGTGCGACCGACCGCCTGTACCGGTAGGCACAACGGTCCTACTTTGCGCGTCGCTTTCGGCTTTGTCCGAAATGCAAGCTGGTGTTGGTGCGTCGGCGCCGAATTCGAGACGTTGTTGAATTTGAGATCTGACGCCACTGGCTGAAACAGTGTATTTTATCGTGTGGTATTTTTTTACGCGATCCTGGCGGCGCTTGCGCTATTTTTTCTATCGCGCTTGCTTTGCACTTGGTATTTGTATGGTGTGTGACGCGGGGCCAAAAAAACAGAATTCGAAGCCGCCAATATAATGCGCGCCTTCGATCTTTCGAATCTTGGCGTGGATTTTAATTGGTGCACGGATACTACGCGCGCATTTGCGCATCGGTCGACCTCGCATATATTGCCGGTAGCATACAAAGACCAAGTCTCGACGGTCGCCACGCGCGCAAATTCGTGACGCAAAGCTGACGCAAATCAAAATTGCGTCGGCGCGACATATTTTGTATTAATATCGGAAGATTGCCAAGATATTAAAATAGCGCGTTCGAAAAACGCCATTTGCGTTTTGACTGGCCAGTAGCGTATACAAAACCAAAGATAATTTAATTCGCATCCGCCGAGCATAGGTTCGAGAAGGTGTTGGGCGGCATATATTTTGTTATTTGCCAGCGCGCTGCCAAAGTCAGACGACCTCGGCGGGACGCGCGATACGACAAGCCCGACCAGCAGCAGCTCCGCGATACCTCCGACCTCGCCTCTGCTGTCACCGCCGCCGCCTACTGCCGCCGCCGTCTCTGGATCCTACTTTGCTACCTATAACGGCCACCGACCCGACTGTTTTCCATTTTTCAAGGTACATTGCCCACGTCGCAGCTCGTCGCAGGCGCTCATTGCGCTCTTGTGGACTAGATGATGCTCGGATGCTACGCAGAAGACCCGCTGGCCAAACAGAGCCGTCAGCAAGCACACGCCCACGCCGCCTCGAGCGGCCACGACGTTGGCGCCGACTCGTTTGTCGATGTAGAAAAGGACGGCGAACTCGGCTGGTTTAGCGACGGCAGCCTCCTGCGCATGGACGAGTTTGGCCACGACATTGAGTGGGTCAACGACGAGCTCGACCAAAGCCTGCACCTGCAATTCGCCCACGGCGACAGCGAAGACCTCTTTGCCCGCGAATTTGCACCCTTTGCAGTACCCTCGACGGCGACGCCGCTCGATGTGGCGTCCAACAACCAGCCCACCGCCTCTGGTACGCCACTCTTATCGCATCTCGAATGGGACGAAGAAGAGGATCTGACCATGCACTTCAACCCGATAGATGGCATGCACTTGGCAAGTGGTGACTTTCGGGCATGCGAGAAGCTCCTCATGAGCTTTGACACGATGAGCTACACGTCGCCGTCGCCGATCTCGTCGCCGCGCCGCGGTGATGCATCACTGGACGACGCGATGCTCGATGACGACATGGACGACGAGATGGACATTGACGACGACATGTCGCTCGACGACGATAGTGACGCGCTCTCGTCGATGACCGACATGGAAACCGAGAGCCTCAAGGCCGCGCTCGCCAAGCTCTCGCCGCCCGTCGTCACCAAGGTCGAGCACAAGACCATTGTCGCGCCCGTGAAGAAGATTTTCGAGCCCATTTGCCATCAGCGCACGATTGGCGCGTACACGCCGGCCGCGCGCAAGCTGCGACTGGAGAAGTTCCACGAGAAGCGGAAGAAGCGCATTTGGAAGAAAAGCATCAAGTACGACTGCCGGAAGAAGCTCGCAGACGATCGCCCGCGCATCAAGGGCCGCTTTGTGCGCGTGCTCGAGAACCTCAACCTCGTCAAGTCGGAAGAGGCGGCGACTGTGGTCCCCGACGCCGCCACGGTTACCGCGACCGTGGACGCGATTCCGAAGGAGGTATCCGCGCCGAGCGAGGCCCCCGTGACGGACGCCGCGCCGGTCGGGACGCCCGCAGGCACGCCGAGCCCGACCGCCGTCTCGTCGCTGCTCGGCGCGAGCCTGAGCCCGACCGTCAACGCCATCTCGACCAACTTTGGCTTTGGCTTTGGGTCGCCTGTCGTCATGGTCAAGCTCGAGCAGCCGCCGCCGTTCCCGCTCGTCGGCCGCGCAATCTTGGGCTAGCGACATGCTTGTCTGTAGTAGTAGTAGTTCCCCATCCACCAAAAACCACCATCTCTGCCGCTCGAAAGCGCGACGCAGAAACATCATAGCGCTAGAACCCGAGTCGCCCGTAGTCCCCTCGAAAATAACACTCTTTCGACTCAACTCTCTTCAGCCGACGCTAAGCAGAGCCACTGCCGCTTGCCGTGGAAGAGCACTCGGGGGCTCCTAGGCCAGCTCGTCTCTGGACCGAGACCTCGCTCGTTGGGGCGCAAGACATGGTCAAATAGCGCGTCAACTTGATACTTGTGGAACTTGATACTTTATTTTGTCTGGCCACCAACCACGACGATACATCATCATCGTATTATCAACATGGCATCCCAGCTACGTGTGCTGGCCAAAGGGAGGGCGGTACGACTCCATGGCCTTCTCTTCGTCCGAGACGATGATGGCTTCGATCTGCCGGAGCACTGGCGAGAGCTCCTGCACCTTGCGCGTGAGCACGTCAATGTACTCGCCTGCTTGTTGCCGAAACGCGAAGTCCTGCGGGTACGTCGACGACACCGTGTTGCGCATCTTGAGCACGTCGTTGATAAAGAGGCTAATGCGCGGGTACCGCCGCATGTGGCAAAACTGCATCAGCCGCGTAATGTCCATACCCTAACCCGACCATGAGACTGGGCGTCGCTGCGAGACAACGACGTACGTTGGCATAGCCCGGCTCGTCGCGAAGGACACATGTAAACGCTTCGCCAAACTTGTAGTCCTCGGTCGTGTCCTTGATGGCCTTGAGAAAATGGTAATTGAGCCGCCCGATCGCCGACCGGTCGGTCGCAAGCGCTGCGATCGGGACGGGCTTGATGACCTACATACCCTTCCATGAGCAAGAGACTAGTGCATTTACGAGGCCTACGTGGGTCTCGCTGCTCATGGTGCGAGGCGCTTCGCTCTTGATGTACGTGGGTGTCGACGATGGCGCGAGCGACGCATACGCCCGCGGCGGCTCCTGGTACCCGTACCCTTGGCGCGACGACGACGGCGGCGGCGTCAGAAACGATGTGCGCTGGGCGACCGGTGGCAGCGACGGCGGCGCCATGAACGACGACGACGGGCCGCCGCTGTTGCGCCGGTACATGGCGTCGTCCTCGGGCACGTCGCCCTCCGAGAGCTGGTAGGCTGACGCGTTGGCCGCCGCACGCCACGCATTTCCGTCGACATTGGGCCGCAGCGGCAGCACCGAGAGGCTCGGGATCTTCTGGAGTTGCGGGCGATCCCCCGGCGGCGTCTGGTGCGCGTAGGGCGATGGCGACCGGTGGTGCGGGCTGTACTGTGGCTGGTCAAGGCGCGCAAACTTGGCCCGGGCGTCGTCGACCATTTCGTCTTGGCGGGGGCGGTACTGCTGCGGGCGCGGCTGTGTCGGCAGCGGCTGCAGCATGCCATGGTGCGGCGACGGCGACTGGCGGTCGTGGATATGGGGCGGTGTGGGCACGCGCGGCGGCGGCTCTTGCTGCTGTAGTTGCTGTAGGTGCTGCTGTTGCTGATGTTGCTGATGTTGTTGCGGCTGCAGTTGCTGTTGTTGTTGTTGTTGCGGCTGCTTTTGCTGTTCCATGCTTGCCGTCTGCTTGGAGCTAAGCTGCGGCGTGACGGGGAGGAGCCACTTCATGAGGGTGTCCCGCGGCAGGTCCTCGGCGTCGCCGTCCGAGTAGGCAACGTGATACTGGTCACCGTACTCTTCCGAGTGCCAATGGCGGACGACCGAGCCCTGGTACCAGCCAAACCCTTCGAAAAATTTGCGCACTATCCGGCGGATCAGGATCCTCGTCATATAGCAGCAGCACCGTCGTACCTTTGCGGCCAAGGAGGTTCGACGACGGCTGCGAGACTTTGGCGTCGCTGCGCATCGACATGTGGTGGGCCTCTGTCGTTGGACGTTCGTCGGGCGTTGCTAGCCGCGCGTCGTCGCCAGAGTTCGTCGTCATGTCGGTCCGGCCATCCATCGGCGGCGGCGACGGCGTCAAGCCACGCATCATACCAACGCTCGCGTTCACTTCGATGCTCTCGACGGTCGTGCCGTCGACCGTCGCTTGGTCGGGCGGTCCGCTGAACGGCTTGGTCAAGTCATTAGCCTCATGGAGCCCGCGGATCTTGGCAGGCACGTAGCCGTCCACATGCGGGTTCTCATGCGACGACGCGTCCGACCGGCGGAAGCCATCGTGCTCGAAGGGCGCGTCCTTGACCGCAAAGACCGCGGATCGTCCGTCGGCCTCCATCGTGCTTGCTTTCTTTCCAGTGTTACTTTCGGATGCACGTTGACATTATTTAAATTTCTATCCGGATACGTATCCGGATACGGTGGAGCCTTCCATGGTTTGGGTTGCGATCTTCGACCACCGACCACCGAACGACCGGCATCGACCGCATTTAGCCGGCCGGTCGACCGAGGGCCGCGCCGCGCCTGCGTGCAACAGCGTCCACCTCGCTACCACCGCGATATGGCGCTGCGTACATGGCGCCCGCGGCCATGAGGATGTTGCGTCAACATGCTCGCCCAAGGGGCTACTTGGGACTGCACTCATTCTGGTATTAATGCCAAAAGAACGCCGTCGTCTTGGATTCTTAGTCGAGATCGCGCTGGAAGATGCCAAAGATGGTATCACGCATGTCGTCGATCGCGCGCTGGGCCGCGGGCACCAGGTCGCCGTAGATAAGAAAGCCATGGGTGAGGTCGGGCAGCACCTTGAGCGCGCCGGGCACATGGAGGTTGGAGAGGCGCGTGTGAAAGTCGACGCTGTCGTCGAGGAGCGGGTCGAGGTCGCCGACCATGAGCGTCGTGTGCGGGAACTGCGAGAGGATCGTGTCGTTGGCGAGGCCGGGCGACACCATTGGGTCGTGGATGTTGTCCTTGTACTCGGCGTCGTCGCCATGCGACGGGTTGTACGACTTGAGCGCGAGCTCGAGGATCGCCCGCGGCAGCACCGGGTCGCTCTGGTGCAAAAAGCGCGACGGCGACGGCGACATGTTCATGTTGAGCGCCGGGTACACGAGGAGGATGCCGTTGGGGAGGCGGACGTTCTCAAGCGTGCACTTGACCGTGAGCGCGGCCGCGAGGTTGCCGCCTACGCTACCATGAATGCCACCACATATTGCGCAAGGAGGTACCGGCGCTCTCGCCAAAGAACGCAATGCTGGACGGAACGAACCCCAGACCGCCATCGAGGACCCACTTGTACACGGTGAAGCACTGGTTGAGCGAGTGCGGGTACTGCATCTCGGGCGCCAAGCCGTAATCTGCCTCAGATTTTACACAGTTTGTCCAACCTGGAACGACGTACCAATGTAGACAATGACAGCACCGAGCGCGACGGCCCACTCGCTCAAGTTGAAGAGGTCTTTGGCAAGGAACCGCCCGAAAAAACCACCGCCGTGGATGTAGAGGAGCACAGGGCGCGCGTACGGCAGCCCAATGGCCGCGAGGTTCGCCGGCAGCGTTGACGGCCACGTGCCGTTCTTGACGTGCTCCATCGAGCGGGCGCTAAAGACGCGGATGCCAATGTCACTCGCGTCGCGCTGGTAGCGCCCGGCCGCGACGCCGTGCGCGTTGACAAAGATCTGGTGCCGCACCGCGAGCTTGGGTGACTGGAGCAGCGCCATGCGAATCGCTAGAAACGATTCGCCAAAGAGCCGCCAGCCCATGCGGATCGTGTCGACGTCCGGGTTGTCCATGAGGAGGCGCGTGACGTACCGACAGGCCTTCTTGAAGCGCACGCCGTAGTACGGCACGAGCGCGGCCGAGAGGTACGGGCCGAGGTACGGGAAGAGGTGGTCGCCGACGAGCCAGCGCGCGGTCGCCGCGGACGCAAGGAGCACGGACGTGCCGGCCTTGAAGGCCGTGAGCCCGACGTGCTCGTGCGACCGGTCGTAGATCTCGGACGGCAGCGGGACACGCTCGATGAGGAGGACGCTGGCCGACTTGAGGTGGTCGTTGATGTCGGCTTCCATGGGCGCGTCGATGAGAAGGCGCTGCGACTTGGACCGGTTCAAGCGCGTGCGGTCGAGTACGTGCTGGCAGAGGAGGAAGAGACGTAGCGTCATGAGTACGCGCGAGTGGTGCACCTTGAGCTGGCGCAATTTGGAGAAGCGGTAGAGAAGGCGCCACGCATAGTCGTAGCAGATGAGGCCAAGAACGCCGGCTTCGACGTGGCGCAATGACGGAAGGAACGTGAGCAAGATCGACCGGAACGACTCGCGGTGCACGAAGCGCTTCCGGGCCATGTAGAAGAAGATGGCCGTGACGACGAACGGGGTTGCGGACCACCGGTTTTCCCAGAACGGATCGTAGTTGTGCGAGAGCCGCTGGAGAACGTCCTTTGTATCCTCCATCGACACGGTCACATGCCGCAGCAACGAGGCGACGCCGCCGGCCAAGATCGCATGACGCTTGTCCATGGGGATGAGCGGAATGATGTCTTTGAGTGCCTGCTTGTCGCGGTAGTCGAGGCGCGGGTTGCAAATGACCTCTTCCTTGATGAAGCTGTACAGGACACGCTCAAAGGATGCTACCGTGAGCGAGAGGTGCTGGAGCTCGCGGCCAACACGACCATAGGCATTTTCACGAATGATGCGTCGCAAAACCTAGTGGTGTATGAGGCTACGGCGATGCGTGGTCATAGCAGTACCTGGATCGTCGAGAGGACGGCGGTCGACGTTGCAATCAAGAGCGCAACGTCGTCCTTGTGGTCTTTCGCCGAGGCTGGCGAGCCCGGCGTCGGCGCCTCGAGGCTGCGCTCGTGGCTCGGGCCAATCTGCCCGAGCAGGAGCACCGTGCTGAGCGACTTGGCCATCGCCGCCGGTTCCGTCATCGCACTGGTCGCCTTCGAGAACGCTGCCGAGTGGACAGCAAAAATAAAATCTAAAAAAAAAGCGTATCCTGTTTCGTCAGCGCAAAACCTCTATATTCGCATATAATATCCATACATAGAGGTTTGCGAGAGCTTGTCTTTGACACCCAACAAGAAAGTGGTCGTGCCGGCAGCAGCTCCCGTGAATGCATCAATGGCGTTGACGACCAGCGCTGGGTGGCTGCATACGAATACCAGTGCGATTGGTGCTTGCTGCGGCGTCCGAGCTCCGAGCTCCGAGCTCGGCGTCGTGCGAAAGCGAGCGATGCGCCGTAGCCAGCTTGAAGTTGGATGGTGCCACAGTGGTCATGCGTCCGCTGCGGCGCACGCACGGTTGATTACTTGACAGAGTGAGATCAGCGACAGGCTCCAGAAGAGTGCAACGGATGGCGGCCAGTCGTCGGCCTCATTGGGTCAGCCACGCTGAAGCATGCCACTGCCGTTCGATGAAGCGCTCTGACGTTCCTAATGGTGGAAGAAACGCGGCTTCAGCGCGGCAGCGACCCTTGTCCTTGGTCGGTAAACGTTATGGCTTGCCTATTTGGAGAACCGGGAGGACCTCAACCGCGACCTTGGAGAGATGCTTGACAGGGCACACTATGCGAGGTTGTAGCCTGCGCGGTCACAGTGGTCAGTGAGCTATGGCGATAGCTCGTGCTGTTGTTGGCAAGCGAGACTCGTCCTATGATCCAACGGCAAGGATCTTGGATGGGCGGTTGATGATGCCGATACGGGCACGTGGGGCTGCCACGTCGAAGCATCGCGATCTGGATCGGCACGTGATTGGCCAACAAAGAAAACGCTTGCCGACGTTGGTGGCCAACGAGCCAAAAGCAGCGGAGTCTCCATGCCAAGCCATGATCGTGCCCACGTCGATGCCGACGAATGACGTCGCACCAGTTTCCTGTGCAAGCAGCTGCTTCATCGAACGCTATCATCTCACATTACTTTTTCTTGTTGCCGCTGCGCTTCTTGGAGGACTTGGTCGGTGCCTTTGCATCGTCCTCGATCGCCCATTCTTCGAGGAGCTTGGCGGCGGCGTCGGCGGCAGCGACGTCTTTCGCCCGCAGCTCAAAGGTCGCAATCTTGGCCGTCATGTCCTTGGCCACATCGTTCGGGATCGGAAACGTGAGGTGGTACTGCAGGACGAGCCAGGCGCCGTTGGCAAAGACGAGCGTGCCCGAGCCGCGCGACGTCGCGAGAAAGTCGGCGCTCACGAGAAGCTCGTCAAAGACGCAGAAGGTCGGCGCGTCGGCCGATGGCTGGTACGTGACCTTGCGGCTGCCTACGATCGGCCGGTACTCCCAGCCACCACTGCCCTGCGCAAAGTGGGGCTTGGCAAAGTCGTAGAAATCGTTGACGTGCCAGTTCTCGGACGCGTCCGTACCGAGGAAGCGGCCGTCCTTGTGGTAGCAGCCAAAGTAGCCCTTGAGGTCGCCGACCTTGGCGGCCTCATGGAACGCATCGAGGAGCGCGTCGACCGTCGCATGGGCGCTGGCGCCGATCGTCTTGGCGCGGCTCGTTGCCATTGCAGAGGAATTCAAATTCGGCACTGACAGGCTTTTGTTGTGGCATATGCCGCCTCTGGATGCCACTTCGAAATGGCGTGTGCGTCTGGCACTGTATTTGAGCCAATCCCATGCGCGGAGAAAGAGGAGTGGCTACTTTTTGGCCAATCCCATGGCCGTGCGTATCCGGCTGCATGGACGAGCCCAATTTGCATTTGATGGCAACTGACGCACAGACGCTGGCGGCGGCCCTTGGCGCCCTCGTGCTCCTCGCCTTTGTCGCGGTCAAGTACACGGCGAGCAAGGTGCTTGAAGCGCGCATCGAGAAGTTCCAAGCGTCGGCCAGCACGCCCGCGACCGAGAAGACGGCCGAATATGGCTGGCTCCACGGCAAGCGCTGCCTCGTGACGGGCGGCAATGGCTTCCTTGGCCGCCACGTGGCCGAAGGCCTCTTGCGCCATGGCTGCGCCGTGCGCGTCGTCGACCTCGCGCCGTCGACGGACCTCGCCAAGGTTGATTTTGTGCAATGCGACTTGCGCGAGAAGGACCAGGTCGCCAACGCGTTTGCCGGCGCGACGTTTGACGTGGTCTTTCACTGCGCGACGCCAAGCCCGTTCTCCAAGAACACGACGCTCCTCATGCAAGTCAACGTACGCCTTCACTTCTTCTTCTTCTAGCCCTGGAGCTGCATGTGTACTAGGTCGAAGGCACGCGCAACGTCCTCGATGCATGCGAGCAGTTCAAGGTCGACCGGTTCCTCTTTGTGAGCTCGGCCGGCGTTGCGTACGAAGCCATTGATCAAATGAACGTCAACGAAGCTGCGCCGGTGCCCACGGCCTTCCGGTACCCGCCGTCTTTGTGTCGATGTCATCGTTGACCGCGCAACTTTGTAGCGACGACTACTGCCGCACCAAGTTTCTCGCCGAAGAGCTCGTGCTCAAGCGCAACTCGCCGAGCTTGCGCACGATTGCGATCCGCCCGCACGGCATGTTTGGCCCGCGCGAAGCCCACTACATGCCGTCGCTCCTCGCCGCGGCCAAGGCGGGCACGACCAAGTACCAAGTCGGCACTGGCCAGTACGCCTTTCTTTTGTCAACGTCGGTGCTGATGGCAATGGCGTAGCAACCGCGTTGACATGACGTACGTCGGCAACGTGGTGCACGCGCTCCTCCTTGCCGCCGACACGTTGGCGCCCGGCGCGAAATCGGCGGGCCAATCATATTTCATCACGAACGACGCGCCTGTCTCGCTCTGGGATACGATTGGCCACATTTTGATGGCCATGGGCTACAACCCGCCGTCGATCGCGGTGCCGTACGGCCTCTGCATGCTCGGTGCGATATGTCAACACGGACAATGGGCAAAGGCGAATGACACTGATGGACGCTGGTCTTAGCGGCCGCGACCGGCCTCGCGCCCGTGTCGACAGCCAAACTCCCGATGCTCGGCCAGCACCACTACTACTCGTGCGAAAAGGTACGAGATGAAAACCCTCGTGCGTCAAGCCATCTGACGGCGTGACGTAGGCCAAGCGCGACTTTGGCTACGCGCCGCTCTACTCGGTCGAGGAAGGCTTGACGCTGACGCTTGCGACCTTCAAGGACGCGCGCGGCCCGCACTCGTTTGAGCAGTTCAAGCCCGCGTACCTCACACGCGAGTACCGCAAGTACACGCGCGCCGAGGTTGCGACGCACAACAAGGAAACCGATGCGTGGATCATTGTCAAGGACAAGGTCTTTGACATCACCGAGTACGTCGAGGACCACCCCGGTGGCCTGAGCATCCTCAACGACGTGGGCGGTGACGCGACGGTGGTATGTCATCGTGCCTTCTCCTCAATGTTGAAGAGTGATGGGTGGTGTCATATAGGGTTTTTACGGTCCGCAGCACCCGCCGACGGTGGCCGAGCACATTCTCGAGTACTTGATTGGCGAGATTGACGACACGGAGGCTTAAGAACCACGTCCGGCGACGATACGAGTGGTCGAGAATGATCGAAGCTCGCAATAAGATGGGCTAAGACCCGGAAGAAGACTGACGTGACAGTGTTACTATGGGTCTACGACGCGGTCGGTGGTGGCGGGGCGAGCGCAACGCCGTCGATGATGGGGTGCCGCTTGGCGAACGACGGCGTCTGCGGCGTCTTGGCCAGTGTCTCGAGGACTGCATGGCGGTGAGCCGGGCTTTCGTGCAAGTGGCGGAACCGCTTGAAGACCTTCATAGCGTAAATGGCGTCGACGACCGGGTCGTGGTCCGTTTCCTAAAGCGAGGGGTTCGAGCCGCAGATCGCGCGTGGATATACCTGGATCGACTCTTCGAGGAGGTACTTGACAACGTGGCGCAGCGAAAAGTACCGGTACGACGACTTGGTGTTGGGCATGCGGAAGAGCATCGCGACGTCAAAGATCGCACGGAAATCCTCACCTTCCTTCAAGCCCAGCCAGGCCACATCTAATGCATGGTATGCCTGTGAGCGGATGGATGGCGATAATGGGGACGCACCTTTGTCGACCGACTGCCCGACGAGGACACTGTCCTTGGGCAAGATCGCCCGCAGATCGGTGAGCACCTCGGCGAGCGTTCGCGCGCCTTCCAAATGACTAATACTCGGCTGTCAGTCTCGGGATACACAGTGTGGATACGCACGCTGCCGTGATGCCCGTGAGCTGCGTCAAGTAGCTCACGACGGGCTTGGCGGGCTTGACATACGCATCAAAGAGCGTGGATTCGTTTTCCGAGACAATGGCGATCCGTGCAACATCGCGGTCCCTAATTTGCACGAGCATATCGCAAATGGAAAGGAGTGGCATCGACGTACAAGTGGCCCGTGCCTGTAGCGACGCATTCGACGTCAATGGCGAAGAATGGACCGAGGAGGTCCCGCGTGAGCACCGTCTCGTCGGCGATCGAAAGCTGCGTCATGTCGGGCAGCGGCGCCGGCGCCGACACGCTTTCATGCGAGAAGCTGCATTGCGCGCCGTTGCGACATTGGCCCTTGAGGAAAAAGCGGCAGGGTTGCTTCCGCGCTGGGCGCGACTTGACCGACGCGGCGCCTGGAGCCTTGGCTAGCGCAGCGTCGTGGCGGAATTGGCACGAGCTGCCCTTGGCGCATCCCTGCGGCGAGGTGAAGAAGCGACAGGTAGGCGCCGACGCCGGGTTGTAGATGGCGTACTTGGTCTTGGCCGGCGGCAGCGGCGGCGCAGGACCGGGCGGCAGCGGTGGCGAGGGCTCCATGCTTTTGAGATATCCAACCCCACGTCGTCCCCGCGAAACTTGATGCTAGAATATGCATTGCTGCAGGTCATGAAACCGCCGACTTTGAACCTCTTGTGGATTGGCCAAAATGCGGACAGGAAGCGCAGGGGATTGGCCATCGCAGAGATATTTTTCTCAAACTCAAAAACAAACTCAAAAACTCTTGTATCGTTCTCCAGGACGCTGAGCTCGAGCCAAGCGCGACGCAAGAGAAGAAGCACGCCGGCGGCGTCCAGAAGCTCATAAACGTGCGCCCATCCAAGCCATGAGCGGCCAATGATGACGTTTTCCGACTCCAAAAACGTCATCCGAGTCGGAGAACGGCATTGGGTGGTGCAATGTGTCGTCGATGACGTGGGAGGACGCACGTTCGCTCCAGTCTTACCCTCCTACCCTCCAAGACGTCAACCAAGAGCTCACAAACGAGCTGCTCCAGCCCCGGGCGTGTGTTGAGCATTCTTCGTAGCAGGGTGCTCATTGGCGCGCGTAACATAAATCAACGTTTCTACTCGTATTACATGGACGTAGGAGGGTTGGAGTGCGCTAGCATGTAAGGAGCTAGCTGCTAGATTTCAAACACGATGGGTCGGCTCGGCGCGGGTTGTGGGCGTGTGAGAATGGGGAGGCCCTGTCGCTGCCGAAAGGCCTTGAGCCACGCCTCGGACGCCTTGAAGTTTGTAATGCCCAAGGACGTTGCAATGTAAATGGCCTCGGCGCGCAAGTTGTCGAGCGTATACTGCAGGTCCTGCTCACTGAGCTCGGCAATGAACGCCATCAAGCCGCGGTCGATTGCGTTGCAAGCGACGTTTCTCGAACCCCGCGCGATGCGACGGGGTCTTCGTCTGTCGCTAGCAAGATGGGCCGCGCCTTGTTACGGTCCTTGAGTAACCGCTTGATCGTGGCCGGCTTGATGCCAAAGTGCCTGGCAGCCACCGGGATACTCGGCGGCGTCGGCCCGCCAAACGCCAAGAGAATGTCGAGTCGATCTTGGTCCGTGAGCCGCAACATGTCTTCGCGATGACTGCGTCTGCCTGCGTCCTCGCCGCTCACATGGGCCCGCGGCGGTCTCTCGAAGGGATTGTTGGCGAAGCGGTTGTACACGACCCGCCGCGTTCGCCGGACGTCCTCGGGCGTGGCCAATAGCATTGGCAAGTACTGGTCGCGCTTCCGCACGAGCTGTCGTACCGCTATTTCGTTGACGTTGTACTGACGCGCCAAGGCACGCGTCGATGGCGGCTTGGGCGTGTCCAGGGCCAGGAGAATCTCGAGCCGCTCCTGGTCTGTCATGCACAGCCCATTGCGCCTCGGACGATCTGGATACTCGGGTACCTGCAGCGGCTTTGGTGGCGCTGGCGGCGCCTTTCGCCGGAACGTTGTGCGGCGCACCTTCTCGGGCGTCGCCAAGAGGCGTGGCAGCACCTCGTCCCGCTGCGCAAGCAGCTGACGCAGCGCGGGCACCTTGACGCCGTACTGGCGTGCGGTGCTGTGTATGCCCGTGTACTTGGGGCCTGGCAGCGCCAAGAGGATCTCGAGACGCTCTTGGTCGTTGAGACGCCGGGACTTGGGCTTTGCTGGCGGCGCGCTCCGCACCTCGCCCGCCATGGTCCAGGATTGCACAATGGACCGTACAGAAGCGTACATCAATCGTGTACGGTGGTACATCCAGTACATTCGAGTTGAAGTCCTTCGCGCTCGAATAGTGTCGGTCATCAAAATAGTGCCATTCATTTTGGCGCGAAATTGCCGATCTTCGAAAGGATATATTCGTTCGGAATGCGTCATCACGAAGCTGATGCACAAACCAAAGTGCACATTTACGTTCGAACCGTACATGCCGTTTGGGCTATGGAGCAACGTAGACACATTGTTTGTGCTTAAATATCGCTGTCGTCCGAGTCGTTGGGGTCGGCGGCCGCGTCGACTTCTTTGGGTGCGCCCTTAGTGTCTGCGTCATCTTTGTTATCGGCTTCATCGGCGGACGACACAACAGACGAAATGGCCTCGGACGCACTTCCGTCATAGTCGTCAGCGTCCAGATCGTCTTCAATCACGTCGCTGAGCTCGCTGTTGTTGCGCGGACTTGGCGGGCGCGGTAAGCCAAGGTATTGCGCTTGAAAGACGTCAAAGCCAGCGTCCCAGGGCCGTCGAAGCTGCTTCCGGATCGCCTTGATGCGCTGATTGGTCACAATCTAATACGAGGTATCTCGCGAATCATCATAGAAGGAGGACGTACGCGATCTCGAATCTCCTTGCCCGTCGTACCCAAAAGCATGTCGACGATCTCAGTGACGTAGTGGTTGAAGGTCTGGCGGAGCTCGTGCTTGAGTGTCTTGACAACCGCCTCCATGTCCTTGATATGCTCTTCCTGCTGCGCAATATCTTCCTCAATCGTCTTGACGAGCGCCTAGCATGGCGAGTCAATTGAGTAGACTACATCGAAGCACAAGTTGTTTAGCAAACCTCGGCCGCCTTGGCGTTCTCATCAGTCCACGCGTCACCCGCGATCGTCTTGTCGAGGACGTTCTTTTGCGTCGCGACCACCACGTCGGCTTTGCGCAGCCCGATGGCTTTTCGAAGCCCCGGGAGTTGCTTCGTGATGCGCTTCTTGCGCGCCTTTCGCTCGGCCTTGAGTTTTTTTGCCTCTTTAAACAGCCGCGCCTATCGAATTTGATCTCAATAAGTATCGATAAGTATCAATAAAATATCAATAAAGTATCAAACTATCAATGTAGCAATATAGCAATAGAGAGAGTACTCGACACCTACCTTGCCGTCGCGCGTGGTAGTGAGGAAGCTGTGGACTTGTGCACGGACCTCCTTGAGCGCATGCTCGATCTGCGCGTCCTCCTTGACACGACGTGCTGCCTCTTCGTAGGACGTGAGCGACTGGACGAGGACCCAGCCAAACTTGTAGCACGGCTCGTGGGTCGTGCCCTTGCGCAGCATGTCTTCGCAGCCGCAGCGGAAGGGCACGCGGTGGTGCGCGATGCCCACAGGACCATACACGCCTTGGTAGTGCGTGAGGGCATCAACGACAACGTCGGGCGCATGTCGAAAAGCCTCTTCGGTGAAGCCGCGTCCGACGCGCTTCTCAATCACATGCAAAATGCTCGGCACGTCTTCCCAGTCGTCATAGAGCGCGGTGGGATTGAGCATAAAGCACGGCGTCTCTTCCGCGTGGAGCCCCCACGGACGCGTGAGGTCGTATCGAAAATCCACCTTGTCGAGCCACCTATCTCGTGGGTTATTGCATCTCTTGCAAAATGGCAAGCAGCGGGACCGTTTGGTCTGGATGAGGCGGCAGAGCTGGAGCACATCCTCGAGGACGGCTCTGCGCGCGGTTTGAGCCCGGTCGTGCTGCGTCGCTTGAAGCTGCTGGACCAAATCGACGCCTCGAATGGACGGCGCCTCAAAGAATGCGCCGTTGACGTACTTGTCGACCTTGTCTTCAAATTCGCGGAGGTCGTCGGGCGTCAGAAACGCAAGGTTCGTCGTCAAGAGGTTGCGGGTGCGGGGTACGAAGTGGTCGCGCTGAAAGCCGTACGGCACGGCATCTAGGAGCGACTGGAGCTCCAGCACACGCTCGACGCGTTTCTGTAGGTAGACTTGGATGTCGCGGATGCCTTGGGCGAGGACACTCGGCGGCGGCGACCGCAGCGGGTTGCCTTCGAACTCGACCATCTCGAGCGTTTGCAGGTTGCCAAAGTCGACGGGAAGTTCTTGGAGCTTGTTGCTCTGCATCCAGAGCCGCTTCAGATGCTGCATCCCACAGGCTACCAGTGGAAAGAGCTCAAATCGGTTGCCCGACCTACACCAAAGTCATCTCAAGACGGATCATGATTTTGCGTAGTACAAGGAAAGGTCGTGGAGGGACGCACTCGCAATGGAAGCGGGCAACGACGACAGCGAATTGCGGTTGGCCTTGAACTCGCGCAGGCCGACGGCCGTCGCAAAATCAAACGCTTCGAGCGTCGAAAGACGGTTGTTGGAAACGTCAAGCACCCGCAAGGACGCCAGCTGCGCGAGGCTTGACGGGAGGCTCTGTAGATGGTTGTGTGGGGCATGGCACTGCTCCAGCTGCGAGAGTCCGTCCATCGCAGTCGGCAAACCCGTGAGCAGGTTGCACCCGACCCGGAGCACGCGCAGCTTGGTCGCATGCGCTAACGTGTCGGGAAGGAAGGCGAGGCTGTTGTTTTCCAAATCGAGCTCCTCCCACGGACACGGTCTCGGAATGCACGAGGCGTTCATCGTGACCAGTCGGTTCTGGCGTAGGTTGAGAAGACGAAGAGTTGGTAAGAGAGCCACTTGCGCGGGCACGCTGCCGAGATTATGCCCCGTGAGCCGCAGCTCCTGGTACAAGTGGGCTCCAACGTCGTGCGCTCGGTACACTTGTACCTGCAGATGCGAGAGCTCAAACAGTTGCGGTGGCAGCGTCGTGAGGTTGCGCCAATGGCAGTCGAGTACATGGGTCGTCTTTGCTGCGGCAATGAGCTCCATGATCTCCTTATGGACATGCACGTCGGTCGTCTACATACACACCATACCGAGTCGAATGGAGAGGTATGTCGATGGTACGTACGACGCATTCATCGACGATACCCGCTTGGACTTGGTGGGGTTCGGGGGGCGCCCCCCGTGCCTCTCTACGAAAGTATGACATCGTCAACGACGACAAGTTGTCTGTTCTTTTACACGTAGATTTGGTTTTGAATTTCAGCAAAAACCGACGACAGACCCATGGCCTGGGCTGCGGCCGACGGAACGACCAAGGACGGGTTGCCCGTGAGGCGAAGTGTCGTAAGCTGCCGGAGCTGCAGCAGGGACCCGGGCACACGCTCAAGATGATTGCTGCTCACGTCCAACACGGTGAGCGTCGCGAGCTTGCCAATGTCCGGTGGCAGGCCCGCGAGTCGGTTGAGTTTCAGGTCCAGTCTACGCAAATTGGCTTCACAAATGATCCCAAAACTCCGTCGTACTCTTGCAAGAGCGGAAAATGAACAAAGCCGTCCGGAAGGCTCGTGATGCAATTGGCCGGCGCCAAGAGATGCGTAAGGTTTGCAAGCTGACACAAGGCGTCAGGCAGCGTCCAGAGCCGATTGTGTCCGACATTGAGCACTTGAAGCGCATGCATGAGGCCCTACATCCTCGCTCGCAGCCGTGGTATCGCTTTTGTGTAGCGTACGAGTGAGACGGGCAGCTCGTCAATACTGTTGTTGGCGACGTTGAGACGCTTGATGTGCATGAAGCGGTCGTAGCGGTCGAGCTCGGGCGGAACACTAGTGTGCTATAAAGCTTATCAGTGCGTTTATTAGTATATCGCACCAGGTAAAGGTTTCGTGGGTGCTGTGGTTGCGATACGACGTTCGCGCACCAGGTAGAATCTCCCAGCCGCCTGGAAAGCTCATCGACGGTGCGTCGGCGGATGGTTCGATGGATTGCTGGTTTGGTGACGGGTGCAGACGTAGCTTTGGTATCGCGTTCGGGTCGGGCCCGAGGACGTCAGGGCGCTGTCGTGTCACTGTTTTTGTCTTGATGTTGTAGTAGATAACTGCACCACTTGCTGGGTCCGTTGATTCGGACCAATCGGCGACCGATGACGTTGCTACGGGGTCAGAAGCAGGACCATTGAAACGCCGAGGCGCCGCTGGCATGGGCAGCAGCGCGAGCGACAGCAGCTCGTTTTTCGCACACGACAAGGTTCGAAGCAAGTGCAGTTCGTAGAGGGCGTTGGGCAGATGCACCAAAAGATTGTGGCTCAAGTCCAAGGTCACGAGATGGACGAGCCGGTGCAAGAAAGGCGCAGTGCGGAGTCGGTTCCGCGGGACCGAGAGATGCTGCAGCGAGGTTGGGAGCGTCTCGGGCAGCCCGCCAAGTTTGTTGCAGTCGAGAAGCAGTGTATGAAGCCGGGTCCAGCGGCCGATGTCGTGCGAGAGCGTGATCAAGCTATTTTCGCTAGCGTTGAGCCACTCGCAGCTCGGAAATGCAGCACAAAAGGCACTCGAGAGCTCACGAAACTCGTTGCGGCTGATGTTGATCTCCTTGATGAAGCGCGCCATTTGCAAGAGAAAGGTCGAAAATACCGTGTCCGGGACCAGGTCGATGCGCAGCGCCTTGAGGTCGAGCATGCCGGAGCCGTAGCTTCGACACATGGCGGTTTGAATGGTGCGCGTCTTTTCTTGGGCTTGAAAGTCGGCGTCGTTCTCGTGCTTGAGCATGTCATCGGCGTGGTGTCGTCGCCGTTCGATGAGCACGGCCATCGTGTTGAGCGTCGGTGGCCCGGTCGTCGCAAGCCTACTCGAGCAACGACTGAGCCTCGAACGAGATTTCGTTGTGTAGTACCGGGTTTCGAGAAACTTGGTCTTGTACTGCGACGCCTTTTGCTCGCGAAGGTAGCGCTCGTTGTTGCTCAGCACCTTGGCCTCGTACTTGGTGCTGATCGCATGGATCGTCGCGCGCGCCTGCTCGTAGCTCCCACTCGCCGCATACTCTTTGTGGATGTTGAGCACCGGCGCCTTGAGCGCGACGCGCTGCCTCGCCTTGGACTCTTCGTCTGGTGGCGTGTACAGGATGTTGTCGCCGCAGAGCTCATCAAACGGGAACGCATTTGGCGTCGTCGTCGGGTCGGTCGGGTCCATGGCTCGCCGCTTCCGTTTCCGCCAATGGCATCACGCAAAGTGGCAGATCGCGATGCCATTGGATGAAATAGACAGAAAAGACCTATTGCAGCCCGTGGATTGGTGCAAAAGATGCGTCGGTTACGTGGCGAACGCAACGAACGAGCACATCGCAACCATGGACAAGTACCGCAAGCTCGAGCGGATCGGGAAGGGCAGCTTCGGGGCCGCGTACCTCGCCGAGAAGAAGGGCGATCCCACGGGCACCAAGTACGTCATCAAGGAGATCCCGATCGACCCGAGAGACTCGACGGCCGCGATCCGAGAGGCGCGGCTCCTCGGCGCGCTCGACCACCCCAACATCATTGCGAGCAATGAGAGCTTTGTGCTGCCAGGTCGCAAAGTCATGTGCATCGTGACCGAGTATGCGGACGGCGGCGACTTGCGCCAGCGCCTTAAGCGCTGCATGGACGCCGGTACGTTGCATGCTTTCACCGCCATGGTCCTGCACGCGATGGCTAGGGCGGCGCCTTCCGGAAGACGCAATCTTGGATCTCTTTGTTCAAATCTGCCTCGCGCTCAAGCACGTGCACGACCGCAAGATCCTGCATCGCGACATCAAGCCCGAAAACATCTTCCTCATGGCCTCGAACGTGGTCAAGCTCGGTGATTTTGGCGTCGCCAAGGTCTTGAGCAACACGCTAGCTTGCGCCGACACACAAACGGGCACGCCGTACGTTGAACGACCTATATCAATGCACTGAGGCTATGGTATGCAGGTACTATACCTCGCCCGAGATCTGCGTCGGGAAGCGGTACAACCACAAGACGGACGTGTGGAGTCTCGGCTGCGTCTTGTACGAGCTCGTGACGCTCTCCCATGCGTTCAATGGCCCGTACGATCCAGTGTCTCTATCTCAAGGCTTGCACTCTCTACTTTGAATGCAGGAACCAGCGCCAGCTCTTTCTCAACATTGCCAACGGAGCGTACGACACGCAGCGCTTGAGCTCGGTTTCGAGCCGGCTCGGTGACCTTGTCCAGGACATGCTGCGCAAGAACCCGCGCGACCGGCCGAGCATCAACGCCATTCTCAAAACGCCGTTGATCCGTGACCGCATCCAAGTACAAATCTAGTCTCTGTTCTATCTGAAAGAACATATTGTCATCTAGACGTTCCTCTCGGCCCAAGAGATGCAAAACGAGCTTGGCCACACGGTGCTCCATGGCCAACACATCTTTCAGCGGCGCGTGAGCAAAGCTCCGGTGCCGTCGAGTCCACGGGCCATGAAGCAGCCGCCACCGCCGCCGATCCCGCAAGCCCACGTCCGACCACTCTTGGCCCGGCCGGTTCGTGGCTACGCGGCCCCGACGGCCGTCGTCAAGCAACGCCACGAGGTCATGGCTCAGAAGAAGGGACGCGTGCAAGCGCTCGTGCAAAAGCAACGCGCGGACGCTGCACTCCGCAACGCCGAAGCCAAAATCGCCCTCGAGTGCAAAGCCCGGCTTCTCGCAGCCAAGAAGCTTCACGACAAGAAGGTTCTTGTGGCGTTGTCACATCGATTTGTCATGACGGCGTAGGACTCGCCGCCAAAGAAGGGACCGCTCGACGTCGGCCGGCGTGTCGCCGCCTTCAACGCGCAGGTGCCGACGTGCACGATGCGCTAAGATCTCAAAAGCGTCTAGTGGGAGCGCCAGAAGATCGACTTGTTCGCCAACTTGCCTGGGCCACCGCCCAAGGTACGCGATCGTTGCTGTACAGAGTGTGTCACCGGCCACGGCTAGTCGGCGCCCACCAAAGCCGCCGCCGCCGTCGACTTTAAGCAAAAGATCGAGGTACCATTCATCTACGAAGCAACAACGGCGTCACTGTGCGGCGTAGGCCAAGAAGGCGGAGCTGCTCGCCGCCCAAGCCGTGCGCGACGCATGCGTCGTCCGCGCGCTGGACGACTCGAGCGTCGGTCTCGGGCCCAAGTACAAGTACCCGCCGTCGGATCGCGACCTCTCTCGCCTCAAGATGTGCGAGGACATTCGAGAGCGTAAGAAGCAGCTTCAACGCGGCGACGTCAAGCACGCGCTCCAAGACCCCGTGATCCTCGTGCAGGCGCTCAAGCCGCCGCCACCGGATGTCGAAGTCATGACCGCGCCCGACACGCTGCACTACGGCAGTACCGGTGCATCACCATTTTCTTCAATTTGGAAATCCGCATATGAAGACCTAGTCGGCGTCGCTGCCGTCCTTTCGCCGCGCAAGCCCGCGCTTCGCATCGACGCGGATGCGGCCAACGACGACATGCAGGAGCAGCACGGCCTCGCCTTCCACGTCCAAGAGCTCATGTCGCCCGAGGTCCACACTCGAGACGGCCGTCATGACATTGTTCTGCGTCACAACCAGCTCGAGTACGAGCGCATGCTGCTCCAGATGAAGAGCGTCATGGACGCAGCGTCGTCACCGACAACCAACGATGACGACGACGACGACGACGACGATGATGATGACGGTGGAGATGACGACGTGTCGACACCGGACGACGTCTCACCGGTGCGTGGCCCTCAACTGCCTGTAGCAAAGGCATCGATGGTTAGGGTTGCTTTGCGTAGACGCTATTACCATCTCACTTGCCGCTAGCGACGCTGGAAGACCCGGCGTTCGTACGGCAGCTGCAGGCGCTGCTCAAGGACCCGAGCGCCGTGCCGAGTGGGCTGACGGCGCCACTGCTTACATGGGCACGCGACTATGTCCAGCACGTCCTCTCGTCGTAATACGCCTTCGACAAGCAAGTACGGGACGTCAGTGGTTATATTGACAAAACAAGGTGGCTATTCTTCACACAGGACGGAACAGGACGCCGAACTGACGGCACAGAGACAGAAAAGGAATGGAAAATGGCTACTCGGAGTGGCGCTTGCCAAAGCCGTAGCTGGGCGACGAGCCGCCAGCACTCTTGACCTCCATGTGAACAAGCTGCTCAATGGACGCGGGCGGCGCCGTGAGGTCCGAGTACCGGTACTCGTCCTCGAGCATCTTGTCGGACGGCATTGGGCTAGCAATCGTGCGCGACCGACGGCGCAGTGGCGGCGGAAGGAGCTTGATGCGCTCTTCGTAGTCTTCCGAGATGACTTGCATCTTGCGCGCACCTTCAAGGTTCAACGGCGTGTTCGAGTCAAAGGCCGAGAGCTGCCCGATCGCGAGCGACTTGTAGATGGTGCGCAGGTGAAAGTAGTACTTGGCGTACGACGCGGCCGAGACGCGGACGTTGTACTCGACGGCCGCCAGGTACAGTAGCTCCAGCGTGTTGATGCGCCGGAGTGGAAACGTGACGTGGCAGATCTTGGAAAAGTCGGCATTGCACATACTGAGGTCGTCCCAGACCTTGCTGGCCATGACCATGGACGAGAAGAGGATCGCGTGCCAGTTGCCGGCGTGGATCTGCAGCCCTTTGCCCATCGTCGCTTGCAAGAGGCGCTCGACGTAGATGAGCCCCATGATGATGCACTCCGACTCCATTTGCGCCTTGGTGTGCACTTGGTGCATGAACGACACAATGTCGTCGATCGACGGCAGCGGCAGCTTCTTGAGCGACGACGCCTGCAGCGCTTCCATCGAGAGAAACCCGTGGAAGCGCGGGTCCGCGGGCAGCGGCGTCGCATGGGCCTCGCGAATGTGGCCGCGAATGACATGGGCGACGCAGAGCATCGTGCTCTTGACGTCCGGCTTGTTCATCGTGCCCATGCGCACGTAGATCGAGTTGGTGCTGTTCGAGCGCATGCGCAGTGGCTGCGGCGGCACCACCGCGGTAAACGCCTCGTCGCGGTACGCGCTGCCGTCCGTGAACGACGCCCGCTCGTGCAGCACCGGCGTCCCGCGCTCGCGGTTCTCTGGAATCGGCGACGGCGGCAGCTTGGACGCGAGCGAGCCATAGACTGGCACGTCTTGGTTCAGGTCTTCTTTTGCCGACAGCGTTCGAAAGAGCCGTGGCGGGCCCGTCGCGAGTTTCGTGGCAGGCTTGCGGCTGTGCACGGGCGGCGTATCGTTCGTGTCTTCCTTGGCCGAGAGCGTGCGGAAGAGGCGCGGCGGCCCGGCCGCGATGACAGCCGCGACGTCGTCACGGCTCGCGACGGGCTCGGGCGAGAGCATGCCCGCGCGCAGCTTGTTCTTGATGTTGTTCTCCATGGTCCGGAAAAAGTGGGACGCCGCCTCCTTCTCGCGCCGGACGATGCAGGGCGGCTTCTTCCACGTCGTCTCGCGCGTAACCGGGTGGTAGTAGTACGAGCGGCCGGAGCGCGGGCATTGCGCGACCTTCCACTCGACGTCGGCGGCCATCGTCGTCGTCGTCGGTCCCTCGCCCATCGATCGACGCGCGGCTTCTCTTGTTGTATTTAATAAGTGGTCTGCGAAGGGGCTTGGTCCAGAAAGGCAGCACCGAATGGCGCAAGGCCATTGGCTGTTAATTCTCTATTTTGACCAATAGAAACCAATGGAAGCCGCGTTGGCCAATCACATCGCGGGATTGATTTGAATATACGAGGTGAGCAGCGGACGCGTGCGACATGCGTCGCGTTCGTGGCAGAAAAAGAGCGATCGCTTGCGATCTGTCCTGTACAGCGAGCGCGTTCTCCGTTGTGGCTACTACTGCAACACAGGGCGCGACCTTGATACTTTCCATGTATTGCGCAAAGGGCAAAGTCAAAGTCAAAAAGGCAAAGTCGAGCGAATGGACCGCAGGGCTCGATACAACACGCCGCACCAGCAGGTGCGCAGAGTCGAACGCGCTGGATGAAAAAAGGACACAGGAATGTACGGTGCGGACACGGCGGCTGCACGGCGGCGACAACATCGAATTGCAGCCACGTGGGTGGTCGGTACATGCGGCAGAGGCGGCGACGTAGCGTTAGCATGCGCGAGAAATCGTGGCCGTCAAAGGCGACAGCACGGCACATGGCAGCTGGTGCGAGCGATAACGCATGACGCTACTGATTCTGAGTCGCCGCCGCCTCCTCTAGCTTGACACTCTTGTGCATTCGTTGCACGGGTTGAAGGCTATGAACCTCGACAAGTTGTAGTATGTAGGGTCGGGGAGTGGAGTTTTTCGCGGGTGCGTAAGACCAATGGCGTGCGACTGTCGGGATCGAAGCGGTGGCCAGTACTTGACAGCGTTCGAAATCACATGCGCATGCAATGATGGAAGCTTGGTCGTGGCAGTATCGCTTCGTGTTGATGGCAACGATCTGGTCCACATTATTTCGTATCTTTCCGACTGCATTGGTGGCATCAAAGCAGCAGGCACTGGCTCGACCGACATAAGTGAAGGGACTGGCAAATCAACCCACTGGGTCGCTGTTTTTTACTTTGCCCGCTGCACTCTGGGCGAACCTGCGATTTCTCCGCCTCGTCGTTCTTCATCGCTACCTAGTACCGGTAGTGCGCAACGTACCAGCGTTTGTTTCAAATTCGTCAGCTCACGACGCGTTTGGCGGTCGTACCGAGCAGTCGCGTCGCTACCGTTGGCGTCAGGTGCGTGCAATGCTTCATCGCGCCGGGCGAGATGCAGCTCCGTCGCCGTATTTTTACTGTACTTCACCAAGGACTGTATGTATGGTGTCCATGCGGCGACGAGGAATGTTGTGTTACGAGGAAGAGGCCAAGATGAGATGGTTCGCCCAAGCCTTGTTCGTGTCGTTGTCGCCACGCTCGAGTGCGACCTCCCTCGGAACCGTTGGACCGGTCGAGTGTAGTAGGTGGATTAGTTGGTGGAGTCTAGTACAAAGATGTCACCACGACTCAGTACAATCCGTCAGTCGTTCAGCAAACAATCAACACTGGAATCAGTGATGCGTCCCAACAGTACTGGGCTCTGGGCTCTGGGCTCTGGGCTCTGGGCTCTGGGCTGTCCCTGCTTGCTATAATGTGAGTGTGGACCGTCGTATGCACAGGTGGATCGATGACCTAGTGAACCCCAACCCCAAGTGCCTACGAACACTAACTTCAAATGGAATACAGGTATAGATATATACGTTAGACATACTACTACGATTGCTACGACAACAACGCTTGACAACTTGCTTACACGACCAGCGTCAGCGGCTCGGGCGTCGCCAGGATCGCGTGCGCTTCGATTACAATGTCGGCGAGTGCGTCGACATCCGCGACAACGTGCTGGATGCCAAAGCCGAGGCGGAGCGACGTCTTCTTGCGCACGTCGCAGTGAAACACGAGGCGGGACGTTGAAGTCGCGGGGCGGCGCGCGGGCTGCGTGAGGTACTCTTGGATCGCAGCCGCTTGCGAATGCTGCAGCACAAACGCGTTGGAGATCGTCGCCGGGTCCTGCGTCGCGCGCTGCGTGGTGCTGGCCGAGAAGACCTTGCCAAGGCGCGCAAAGAACCGATCTTGGAGTCGCAAAACATACGCATGCCGCAGCTGAATCGTCCAGTTGTGCGACGCGTAAAAGGCTTGGACGTCGTTCCACTGGCGCAGCGCGTAGTGAAACCCGGGGGTGCCCCCCTGGAACTTGAGGTCGGGCGTGTAGCCGACGACCTTGGTCGGCACATGCGTCGGCGAGAGCACCGAGAGGTCGGCGATCCAGCCCGTGTTGGCCGGCGTCCATGACGTCGTGCTCGGAAATGCGATGAAGCCGAGCCCGGGCCCCGCAGTCGCGTGCTTGATGCCGCTGCCAATGACAAAGAGGTGGGGAAACTGCGACGGCAGCGCGAGCGGGACGTTCTCGAGCGTCTGCGCCACGTCCAGAATGAACATGCTGCTCGTCGGAAGCGCCGTTGCCACCGACGCAATGCTCGCATCTGACAGCCGAAATTGAAAGTTGGAGTACACAACGCTGGCGTACACCACATCGTAGATGCCATTGGCCGCCGCGGCCGCCAGACGCGCGCCGTACGTCTCGAACGGCGTCAGCGCAATCGTCTCGACCGTGTGATGCGGCAGCGCGTCCATCTGCCGGGAAAACGACAAAAACTCAGCGTCCGAGGTCAGCACCCGCAGCGCCTTGCCATGCGGGTGGCAGCTCAGTAGACGCAAGAGGAACTCGTGGCAGTTGGATCCAAAGTTGATGTGGTACGCTGCCGAGGCGACACCGAGCGCCTGCTTGATGTACGCGGCCGCCGTTGGCACGTCGTGCGCAAAGACGTGGTCCCACGACTCGTTGAGCGTCGACGCGAGTAGCCGATGTGTTCCGACGACGCTATCAAAGGACACGTCGGGTGCGAGACCCATGCCGTACGTGGAAAAGTGGAGCGCTTGCGGGTCCTGGAGCGCAAGCGACCGGGCAAAGTACGGTCGGAACGGGGACGTCGTCTTGACACCGAGCTCGGCGACGGGTTTTGCCGCCACCTCAACCGCCATGGCCGAGCGCGGGCACATCAGCTGCTGCCACTGGACACGCTGCTTGAGCTCGCGATGGCGCTGCCGCGCGCCTTCCGAGAGCGTGCGGATGATGCGGCCCTTGAACGACTTGTCGACGGCCAGCTGGGCCGCGTCGAGCGAACTCGAGAGCTGCTCTTTCGCGTGCTCGCACGAGAGGTACCGGTTGGCGTCCTTCCAGCCGCGCTCAAGCATCTTGACCGTGAGCTCTTGGGTCCCGGCGGCGCCCGCGCCCAGCACCATGATCGCGAGGTGCTGGTGGCCAAAGTAGAAGCGTCGAACTGCGTTCTCAAGCATCTGGATGGCCTGGACGATCTGGATGCACTGGGCGCCCGGCGACACCCGCGACGCAAACATGGTTTGAATCGTTGCGACCAGGTCATGCTTCTCGGTTTCGTCCTCGGGCTTCTCAGACCGGACTTGGCTCAGCACATGGAGCATGTCGACAAGGCTCGTGGGGTCGACAGTCGACCGCTGGGCGACGCCAACGAGGCATGTTGGTGCGAGCGGCATGAGGTGTGCGATGCGGCGTCCGAGCTGGCGCAAGCGCACGCTCTGGCCCCCGCTCGCGCCATGCAAGTGGAGCTTGAGCGTCAAGTAGTCGGCGGCGTCCATCTCGCTCAAGATCGAGATGTGGTCAATGAGATACTCCCAGATCTGGCACGCAAAGCGGTACCGGCGCGCGACGCGCGTCAGCACGGCCGCGTTCACCGCCGTCGACGCGTTTAGGTCCAAGTGGTCGAGGTCGAATTGCGCAACGTCGAGCTGGCGCTCCATGACGCAGCACCACGCCTCCGTGATCTGGTGCACAGTCGCGAAAAAGTGATCTTCGACGAAATCTTGGTCGTCCTCGTCTTGGGTGCAGTGCGCACGCGTGTGCGTCGGCAGTACGAGCTTGTCGTACGGCAGATGCAGGCCGTCGGACGCGCCGAGGCCAGGGCCAAAGGGCAGGCCCGAAAAGTGGCAGCTCAAGAGCCCCGAGACGCGCTGGAGGAGCTCGTGCGGCGGGAAGGATGCGTTTGGCGCGCTGTCGCGCCACCACCAGTGACCGTCGAGAGCCAAGCTCTCCTTGCTGCCGTCGCGCGTGAGGTCGTACATGGCCGCGATCTGCGCCTTGTCGTTGACGGCCGCGAGGTCCATGTCCATCACCGTGCGCATCATGAGCAGCTGCGCGCTGAGGTTGCGCATGACGGCGTCGACGCGCGACGCGTGGTTGACGTACGGCCGGTGCCGGCGAAAGCGCGGCGCCGTCGACTCGACGGTAGCGCCGACGTTGACGTCCATAAACTCGAGCAAGAGCCGCAGTGTAATCTCAAACGAACTGAGCGCCGGCGCGACGCGGTAGAGCGGACCCGGTGCCGGGCTCAGCGCGACCGGCTCCGAGAGAGGCGCCGAGACCGACTCGATCGGCTCGAACGGCATCGTCTGCGTCGGCGAGACGTACGACCAGAGACCCCAGACCTTCTCGAGCTCGTGGAGGCGAATGTAGGACGCGTACGTGTTGCGGTGCAGGTTGCCAATGTACGTGGCGTAGGCTCCGATGGTCGCTGACGTCGAGGCGCGGCCGATGCTGGCACCGTCGGCGGGCTTGTTGGTCGATTCAAACGCGCACGAGCCGGCGGCTGCGTCGTCGGCGTAGGCGCACGACGGCGTAGAGGAAGCGGGCGTGGTATCGGATACGGTCATTGGGCTGGTTGGTGTGTTGCTGACAAGGTAAATGGAGGAATGAGCCGTTGAACGTGCTTGTAGAGGCCGCCTTGTCAGAACATGGAGGGTATTCTCGCCTTTTGACAATATTTACCGTCGTCTTGATGTTACATAATGTTGCAAAGTCGTTGTTCGCGCATTTGATTGGTCCATTAAATGTCCGGTGTCGAACCACACCCAGCTGTTTGAAACGGGTGTCGGTTACAGTGCAAAACTCTAAATCTTAGCTTGGTATTTGTATGCAAAGAGATGTGCGGTAATGAATTATTGTTGAAGCTGGTATATATTGTCAAAACGCGCTTACCATGGTCGCTCCGACACCCACACGCGACGCATCGTGTAGTACTTGGGGAGTTCTGATCCGGTTCATTGGCAGGCGTTCGTTGTCCGCGCAATAGGAGGCATGGGTACCTGACGTGCGACTCCTTTTCCGCAGCTTCAACCAGAGTACTACTCACGACGTGTCCTTTGATCGCCTTTCTGGCCGACAGACGCGGGGTACGGAAGCTGGAGATTACCCCGAGACTCAGCGTGCTCACTTTCAATTGAGTAGAAACGACCGACAACGGCATGCGCGAGAACGTTGAATATAGCAAAAAACCTTGGCTTCTCGAGAACACTCAGAAGTTGGTTTTAGGGACGTCGTTTCTTTGCCGAGTCGTCAAGTTGGCTGAAGTTTCCTTCGTCATCAACCGACCGTCGCGCTTTCTTGCACCCAGTTTGCTGCAGAATCGCCGTCAAGTTCAACCCACTAGGCAAGATGTGCTTGCTGTTAAATATTGTCATAAAACCGCCAATCTGTAGATCCAATTTCAAAATGGGATGCGCCCGCTTCTGCTTGCACATCGAATCGACATGTCGCGCATTTATACTACCCACAGGTCTTGCAATTGCATAGTACGGCCTAGCACGTTCAAAGCCACTCGATTATGCACTGGTACATATTGTCAAAACGCCAGAGGCGGCGCATGAAGGTTCAGGATCAATCGACGCGTGGATGGGCTTTTGCGGCGCCTCGTATAATGATACTATTAGTACACCAGCACGTTGCAATAGGAGTTCCAGCGCACGCTGCTCCAAGGAATGGAAATACTAAAAAGTCAAATCTAGGCGGTGCTAGGAAAAAATGTTAAATATTGTCACAACTCGACAGATAGCGGTCGGTGCTGACGCAATACAGCTACATCTGTACAGGCGTCGGGAGCGGAGAGCTACTACTACGTAATCTCGTGCAGTGTAGCATGAGGTCCAAGGGCTCGAAAAACCGTCTCGTAATAAGTTAAGGCTCATCGCCCAAGGGACCAACCCTTTGGCGAATGCCAAGGCAATCCCCAAGTGATTTATCTGAACCATAAAAAGGCCAAACATTTCGTGTGGACTCATACATATTCTTATGCATCATCAACTTTACAACTCAAAACTAGTAATGTTATCGACGGCGACGACCTTGGGTACGACGGGCTCGGGCCTCTTGACCTGGAACTCCTCAAAGTCGTCGTCGTCCTCGTCGTCGTCCTCGTCGTCGTCAAACGTGCCAATGTGCCCGTGTACCTCCTTGGGCGTCGACGGACCCTTGGGCGTCAGCGGCTCCTTGGGCGTCAGCGGCTCCTTGGGCGTCAGCGGTCCCGTGGGCGTCAGCGGTCCCGTGGGTGTTGAAGGACCCGTGGGCGTGGACGGCTCGGTAGGCGTAGTCGGCGGCGGCGTGGACGGCTCGGGCGGGTCTTCCTCATAGTGGTCTTCTTCTTCCTCGAGGATCATAGCGTGTTCGTTGCCGGCTTGAGCGTCGCGGAGGTCCTTGAGCGTTGCTTGAAACTCTTGCGATTGGTCGCCGAGGTACGAGAAGCGGTCAAAGTGCTTGCCCGACGTGTTGGTGGGCGACGACGGCATCGCGACGGGCGAGTCGGGCATGAGCTCTTCGCGCGCCTCGCGCGTCTTGGCAATCGCGCGACTACAGACAACTTGTCCCCACTGCTTCTCTCGACAGTCCTACCTCAGACAGCTCTCGGGCGTCACGTCTTCTTGGCGATGCGGCGGCCGCGGCACATCGACGGTCTGCGCCATGAGGCCCGTCCAGTCAACGTCGGCAAAGAATTCGTGGCGCTTGATTTCTTCAGCGCCGAGCGGCCCCGACCCAAGCCGCGTGCCCGCATCCTTGTCGAGCAAGCGCGACACCTAGTCCATTGCCGTCAAGACGCGCAACTTGTAGAGCGTCGTACGAGGTCCTTGGCGTCCGGCGTGAAGCGCTCGCTAAAGACGCACTCGTCGTTGAGGATCTTCTCAAAGAGCACGGCCGGGTTCTGGTGTCGGAACGGCGAGTCGCCTTGGATCATCTCGTACATGAGGATGCCAAAGGCCCACCAGTCGACGGCCGTGCCGTACGGCTCCTTGAGAATGATCTCGGGCGCGAGGTACTCGCACGTGCCCTAGGCCAAAGGCTCAGTTTTCCGAGAGCAACGCAAGTGCGTCGCACGACGAATGACGACGCGCGGCCCGTCTCCTTGTCGACTTCTTCCTTGGACAAGCCAAAGTCCGTGCACGCAACGTTGCCGTCGGCGGTGAGGACAATGTTTTCGAGCTTGAGATCGCGGTAGAGAATGTTGGACGCATGCAGATGCGCAATCGCAAGCAAAATCTAGTTTCGGGTCAGCTCCAGAGTCCACAGTCCAGATTCGAGTGTGGTTGTGGGACACACCTCGGCGAGGTAAAAGCGCGCGCGTTTGATGCTAAAGCGGCCGCGGCGACGGAGCACTTGGCGCAGCGAGCCGCCGCTGTAGTAGTCCATGACCATGTACAGCTTGTCCTTGTTTTGGAACGCGTAGCGCAGCTGCACAATGTACGGGTGGTTGGCCTCTTGCAGGATGCGGCGCTCGGCCATTGTCTGCGTCACGAGGTCCTTGTTCATGACCCAGTCCTTCTTGAGCACCTTCATCGCGTAGAGCTTGCCGTCGTCGTGCTTGCCAACGTCCTTCTTTTGCACGAGGAGCACCGTGCCGCACGCACCCCGCCCAATCACGCTCACGAGCTCGAAGTCGTTGACCGACATCTTGCCGGGCATCGCAGAGTCCTCAAAGACCGACTCCTTCTCGCCAAGGCGGACCGCACGCGGCCGGCTCCACGAGATGAGCGACGGAAGGCACTTGCACGTGACGCAGAGCCGGACGCTGCCCTCGAGCTTGGTCGTCTCCATCGAGCTGCACTTCTCGCAGACCGCGGATTGGCATGTCCGGCAGTGACGCCGCCACCGACGCATGTTGAACGGCTGCTTGCAGTTGTAGCACATCTTCTCCATGCCGCCCGAGACCGTCGAGATGCGGAAGCCGGCGTAGCGCGCCTTGAACGTCGAAAAGACCGAGTGCATGACCGACTGGAGCACTTCAATGTCCGAGAGCTCGTAGCCGGCCGAGAGGACAATGCAGCCCGCGTCGTACTATCAAGGTGTCAATGTATCAGTGTCCCGCCGGTTGAAAAGGCGAGCCACGAACCTCTTTGGGCTTGAGCCGCGTGAGCTGGGGCTCGGCCGACGCAACGTACGAGACGGCCCACTGCGCAATCGTCTTGCGCAGCAGGTACGAGTCCTTGGCGTGCACGCAATGCGTCGACTGGATAAAGGCGATGCCACTCAAAAGCCGCTTCATCTCCTTGAGATGGTGCCGCATCGAGTCGACGAGGAGCCGGCCGCCGTCGCCGTACGCAATGACAAACACGTGGGAGGCCTGCGACGTGTCGACGTGATCGCGCCACGCCGAGATGAAGCGGTCGATGGCGCACTTCATCTATGCACAAGGCGACGGAGGATGAGGAAGATGCGATAGGTATGAGGAGATCGTACGACAGACGTGTTGGGCACGGGCGACTCTTTAAAGACGTCGTCGTAGACCATGATGCCAAAGAGGTCGTCGCGCGCGCGAATGAGGTACGGCAGCATGGACCCGAGACTGCCGTGGTGGATGCCACCGCCTAGATGGAGTGTTGGCTGAGCAATGGGGCGAGAGGCGGTATGCGACGCGTACCTTCCGAGCCCGAGCGCACACAAAGCTTGGAGCTCCAGATACCCGCGGGCGACCCGCCGCTGTCGCCGACAAACACGAGGAGGCGGTCGGCGTGCGAGACGGAACGCGACATGAAGAGGTTGCACTCGATCATCGTGTCCTCGCACGGGCTCTCGTCGCGGTAGAGATCGAGCATCTCCTCCATCTTGGCTTGCACGTTGACCTTGACCGATTCGACGAGGCCGCCCGGGGGTGGTGCTCGCGGCTCGGGTGGCTCGACGTAATTTGAGGACGCGACCAAGGTCGTGGGCTTCTCCGTTTTGGAGCCCGAGATGCGCTCGCCCGAGCCGCGCGAGCCGCGGTTGGGCATCGACGAGCCCGTCGGCGACAGCATGTTTTCCTCGTCGTCCTCGGCGAATTCGCCCTGACTCTGCGACGTCGAGGAGGGGCTGCTCGTGCTCTGGCCGCGCCCGAAGAGCGTCGTGACCGAGTTGAAGCCCACGAGGCCCACGGACTTGCGGCGGACGGCGTCGCGGATCGCGCCGACCTTGCTCAGCGGCAGAGATGGCATCTTCGACATCCGCGGCAAAAGAGCTTTTGATGGATCCAACTCTTAGCGCAGCGTAGTCGAAATGAGATCTCACAGGTTATTCATGGACACCTTTCTGCGTATTTTAATGAAGTTTCATTGACTCTACATACAAAGTGTGGTTAATAAAATAAATACGCCAACGGCAATGTCCATAGGGACGAAACGTAGTCAGTATAAATCCTGTCGAGTATCATTTCTCGCAAGCATCGGTCGATGGGAGCCGCTGCCACGCCGCCCACAGTGGTTCACGGCCCTCGCCGCCCGATGAGCGATTCCGCCGCGTCGCGACCGCCTAGAATCCGTCCAAGCATAGGTACGGAGGCGACGTCATGGTACAGAAGCCGAGCGACCGAAGCGTTCTCGACGCAGCTGGCTATCTGGCCGAACGACGGCCGTCGCTACGCCAACCACCTTACGACTGTGCGATGCAGGGATGGGCAAGACGCGACGACGACAACTTGGGTGGCACTTCGTCGTATTAGTCATCGGGGTAATACGGGTAGACACGGAAGGAGGCATCGAGGAGCCGCCCGTTGGCATCGTAATGGGCCATAAAGTAGCAGCTCTCACAGTAAAACATCGGGTCTTCGACCGCCATCGGGTCGTCGAACGTGACATGCTTGGCCGCGTGGTTGTGGCAGATCTATCCGCGTAACAGAATATGAGAGGCGTGCACGGTAGAGATTTAGGCGTCGTACCAAGCATTTTTGGTGCTGCCGCGTCGACGCGTGCACGCGGAGAGGGTACTTGGCCGTGTCGACCTCGTCGCGGTCATGCAGCAGCCGCATGTTGCGAAAGTACATGACGTGCTCGCAGCTGCCCAGGTGCAGGAATAAATAGGGCACGTCAAAGCGCAGGTTCAAATCCGCGAGCCGCGTCGTGAGCATCGGGCGCGGCGGCTCGCGAAAGCCCGGAAACTCATCATGGAGCCGCAGCATCGGGAGCGTGTCCATCCAGTACGCAATCTCGCCGGCGTAGTGCGTGCTGCCCGAGCCCTCGGGCGGAATCGGGTCCATGAAGACGCTGTCCAGGTAGCAGAGCTTGCAGCCCGAGTCGTACTCTTTGAGGTGCAAATGGCTCACACAGTAGATCGCATCGACGAGCTCGACGAGCGTTTGGGACGCGAGCGCCAGCACAAACTGGTTCTTTCGCGGGTTCTGTGTCGGATGGAGGACCTCAAAGAGGTAGAGGACTTCGCTCAATGGCGGGTTGGTCGTGCAGGCATGGTTGGCGACGAGCCAGGACGGCGTCGTAAACGCTTCGAGCGGGCGCTGTCGCTGGGGCGGGTACTTTTCCAAAAACTACATACAGCAAGCAACCATCAGTACCCAAGCCATAGAGGCGAGTTGCCGTACGGCTTGTGTCGCGGCACTGGGCATGTGCTCTGCCCGGTACTGCGCCTCGGACTTGAGGCCACGGAAGACGTCCTTGATGCGCGTCTCGTCGTCTGTCGCCGCCGGCGCGTCGCTGTAGCCCACGCGTGCGAATGCCAGCGTACTCTCGCGTTGCTCCTTGGGGCGCAAGGCTTGTACAGCTTCCAATGGGCTAATGTCGTTCCACGCAGTGAGCGCGGCCTCGATCGACGCTTGCATGGCATCTGTCGCCGTCGTGAGATGCAGGTCGTCCGTGCTAAGGTCCAAGGAGTCGTCGTCCTCGCGGCCCTTGGAGAAGCGCGGGAAGTTGTTCAGGAAGACCGTCGCCGGGTTTGGCGGCGACCCGACGCTGCTGCCATCCTGCGCGATCGCATTTTCGGGCGCTTGCATGAGATTGGTTCGCTGCTGGCCGCGAGCCACGTTCGTAATATAATGCATTGGCATACAAAGTGCAAGTCGGATTGTATTAAAATTAAAGTGGCGTGCGTTTCTTCACATACCTCTTGCACAATATTACGAGGGGATAAAAACACCGTGCACAACTTTGCGCCGAAATAACGTTAACATCAAGCCGATAAAAAGCCATGCATATAAAGTTGATCCCAATATACCTGACTTAACAGAGCACTGTACGTTACGACGTGGCCAGTTTGCGATGCTTGCTACCGTCCTCGGTGGGCTCGTGCTCGCGGCCACCGCCATGGCCGTCGACGTCGACGTCTACCACCACTTTGAGCACCACGACTTCTTCAGCATGCGCATGATGGGCGACGATGGCGCCTTCCGATGGAACACTTACAGCGCGGTGCAGGAGTTCGCCATGGACGCCGGCGGCGAGGTGCTCATCTCGGGCGTGAGCGCGACGCACCCGATCTCGTTCTCGCTCTACACGTACGAGCAGTGGGATGTCTACCGGTCGCTTGTCTTCCAGATCACGTCGATGGCCGCGTACGACGAGACCATGGCGCTGACGTGCATGTACCCGGCGGCCGCCCGCATTTCGTTCGACCCCAAACGCAGCAACGCCTCTGCGACGATTCGCATCCCGATCACGGTCGCGAGCCAGTACACGCTGCAGATTGAGAGCTGCCTGCCCGCGTACAACCTTGTGCAGGTAGGCCATCTTCCTCGTTCGACGTCCTCGTCATGGCCGCGACAGGCCAAGGTCGTCATGCGCAACGTGGCCTACGACGGCAGCGTCACGGAGCACTTGGGAGTCGACCAGCTCGGGCTCCTGCCCGTGTATTCAAGTACGCGTCTCCCCTTCTCGCTGGCTCTTTCAAACGGGACGCGTAGTCGTGACGGCGGCCTTCGTCTTGATGACGACGTTGTGGGGCATCGACTGTCTCCGCAAGGAGCGCCCTACCTACGTACGCATCTGCCTTTGCGCCTTCTTGCTAGCGCCGTGCTTACCTTGCTCTTCAGGCCATCCACGGTGTCTTTGGTCTCTGCCTCGTCGTGCGCACGTTCGAGTGCTTCATCAAGGTACATCTAGCGTCCTGCGGAAGGCCCACGGCAGCATGTTGTAGCTGTGGCATTACCACGTGCTGAGCAAGTCAGGCCGGACGCGGTCGTTTCTGAGTGTCGGCAAGGACATGTGTGAGCACATGACGACGACTGTGCTCCTCCTCTTCCTCCTGCTCTCATATCCTTTGAACGGTCTCTCCTCGCTGCACGTTCGTATGCTTTTTGTGTTCCTGAACCACAGTGTACCTCGCTCGGCTGGTCGATGCGGCGCCGGTACTTGACGCAGAGCGAGCGGCGGATCGTCCAAGCATGCTTTGTGCTGTACGTGTTTGTGGCCATGACCAAGGCGACGTGCGACAGCCGGAACCAAGTGTGCCAAGGCTACATGGTACGACGACTAGAGCCGATCGATCCACTGCTATTTGCGTGCACGTAGCTCACCGAGTATGTGCTCAAGTCGCTCATGCTGCTCGGAATCATCATCACGCTCAACTACTCGATCGCGCAGCTGCAAACCAAGCTCGAGAGCGACCACGGGCGCTGGAACGAGTCCAAAATCCCGAAAATGCAAGTCCGCCTCAATCTCTATCTGTCGCTACGCTATAGCTTCCTCGCCTACCTCCTCCTTCCCACGGCCGTGCTCATGATCAACGTACGGCTTGTGTTTTCGAGAGGCGGTATCTTGAGATTTGTTTGTAGCTCGGGGTGATCAATCCGCCGGGCACATGGCGCTACGTCTGGGCCACATACCTCTTTGAAGAGGTCGTCATGGGCTGCATCTTTACCCACCTCGCGCTTGTGCTGCGCCCGGTGCATCCGATGACGCTCGAACTCGTACGTGCTTGTATCCAAGCCGACGCTCATGCGATGATATGCCCAGCTGACGCAGAAGAAGGCGACATAAATAAGAGTTCATGGTTCGTGTCGGTCTACTCGGCCAACGACGCCTCGCCCGGTCGAAACACGATCGACTGCGAGAGACGGCGCATGAGACTACTTTCGCTGAGCTGTACGATCGAGCTGCACCGATTCGCCGTCATAAACTTGCACTTGAACACGCCTTCTTTCGGAATGTCGTTGTCGCTGAGCCAGACCGCATGGAGGTTCTCGACGTCGGCGCCGTTGAACGTCACGTCGTGAAGCGACCCTTCTTGGGCGCGCGAGAGCTGCAGCAGCAAGGTGGCCACATAGCGCTGGTCGTGCTCGTCGAGACTCAGATCGTACTTGCCGCCGGGCGAGAGCGGGTTGAAGACCTAGGCGCCCCATCAACAAGGATCGAGCGATCGTCGTACTTGGACAATGCCGACGCGATCCAGGAGCTTCTTGCGGGCCTTGGCGTCGAGGATGCTGAGCGCGTCCGAAAAGTTGGCTTCGTCGACGATGCGGTTGAGTAAAATCACAAACACTTCGAGGCGGACGAGCGCATTGTCGATCTTTTCGTACGGCGAAAAGTACTCCATGAGGCGCTGCGCGTGGCGCGCCGTGAAGAAATACCTATCAACATGTTGTCGCGTTGAAACATTGACACTTTGAAACATAGGTACAAGTTGGAAATCGCGCGGAGGCCCACGAGCTTCATGTCGGGAATGGCTTTAAACTCTTTGAAAAATTGCTCGAACGCCGCGTCCGACAGCGGGATGGCGCCCGCGGGCGGTCGACGGGTCGCGACAAAGTCAAATTCGAGCACGCCGAGGCGCGGCAGGGACCACGACGCGTCGAGTGAAATCGGCTTGTGGTTGTACCTACAATAGCACCTCTTTCTATCAATCTATCAACACGTCGAAGGCACGAGACCGCGCGTTGCGAAACCCATTGTTGTTGCCGTGCTGCGAGACGTCTGGGAGCTTGTTGACGGCGCGGAACCGACGGTCGGCGACGTTGGCTTCGATGAGCTTGAGCATGATCCGGCGGTCGACAAAGTTGGACATGTTGAGCCGGTAGAACCCCGTCGGGTTGGTCGGGTTGAAGGCGATCCACTTGCCGAGCTTTTGCTCGACATAGCCTTGCTCGATCTACAACCAAAGACAAAATATGAGAAAGCGAGCACGACGGCATCGAGACCTGGTCGAGGCCTTGGAGACCGACGAGGACGGTGATGTCGCCGCACACATCGATCTTGCCGTCATTGTCCTTGTCTTCAAAGAAGACACCGTTGACGGGACCCGGACTCCCGAGGTACGCGTCGCGGTCGATGCTATGGTGGTGCGAGTTGGAGATTTGAGGGATGAGCGCCGCGGCCGCCGACGCCTTCTCGGCCTGGCACGTCGGCGAGCTAAAGAGCGCGAGGAGCGTGCTCGCTTGGTTGACCGTCACGCAAAAGCCGTCGGCGAGGATCTTGATCATCGTCATCTTCTTGTGGTCGTCCAAGTCGAACGAATGGCCGATGAGGTCCTTGATTTTGCAAAACTCGGTGTCCCGCAAGTGCAAGTCGGGGCTTGCTTCTTCGTCCTTGGTCACATGCAAGGCGAGGATGCCAGAGAACGGGATTTGGCCGCGCTCGACTTTGGTCGTTGCGAGGTGCGGCGGGAGCACACTGGTGCCCTTCGCCAACGCAAAGGGCTGGCCGTTGAGCGACACGTTTGAAAATGCAATGCGGTTGGCAGCGTGCATGCTCAGAAGCTCCTTGAGCACGACGTGGTCGCTTCGGTCGGCCAAGTCGAGCTTGTACGGGCCGGTGCAGTACGTCGGGCTGTACAAATACTCTTGAATCTCAATGTTGCAATTAGAGAGGTCCCAGATGCACTGCATGCTCGCGGTCGCCATCGCATGCAAAATCGCTTCGACGGCGGCGGTGCCGATCGGGTTGCTGCTTGCGTCCAGGTGCGCGATCGACGCGTTCGACTTGCACATGTCGACAAACACAAAGATGGCGCGGCCTTTGATGTGGTTGTTGCTTACGTTCAAGTTCGTGAGCGTCGAGTTCAGAACGAGGCTCGTCGCGAGCTCAATGTCGGCGCCACCGCTGTTGCCGAGCGAGTTGTCTGAGAGCACGAGGTCGAGAAGCGTGTCGTTCTCAGCCATCGCCGTTGCCAAGTGACACGCTGGGTCGCCTCGGATTTGATTCCATGACAAATCCAAGTGCGTCAACGCGGTTTTGACCCGGAGAAGGTCGCCGAGGAGCTTGGCCGAGTGAAAGACCTTGTTGTGGCTCAACACGAGGGACGTGAGCGTGCAGCGTTTCAAGAGGGCCTTGACGAGCGCCGTCACGGACTGATCGCCGAGTTGGTTGTTGCTCAGATCGAGCACTTGGAGGTTCAGCGATGTGTCGTCGAGCACCGTATTGAGCTTCATGTACCCTTTCGCGCCAATGTGATTGTGGGCAAAGTTGAGACGTAGCAAGTCTTCCTTCTTGACGCCGGTGACGATGGCCGCCGAGCCCTGGCCAGAGATCCCTGCATGCGTCATCGCGATGCTTGAAATGCGAACTGGAAGCAGCTCGAGCGCATCGCCGAGGGCCTCGGCGCGCCTGTCGCCCAGAAAGTAGTTGACGTACGACAGTCCGCCGTCAGCGCTGTAGTGGGGTTGGGGCGCCTTGTGCAAGCGCAAGTCCAGGAGAGGCAACGGCAAAAGCGCTTCGTCTTCGCAATGCCGAAGATACCGTCCGCGGGACGAGTCGGGGCGCTGCACACGGCGCGCGCCGTCTTGGTAAATGCGCCAGAAACGGTCGTTGACGTCGTCGCAGAGGTAGTCGGCGTCGGTGGGCGGATCGATTTTGGGCTCGTCGAGGAGCGTCTCGTCGAGCAGCGGCGACATGATCGCGGACTTAACGGGCACGAGCTCCACGGCGTCGTCCGGTATGATGCGGTCCAAGCACGAGCTCGACTTGGGTGGCGACAGGATCACATTGGAGAGCGGGGCCAGCGTACTGTTGGCGATCGCCTTGCCGCTCTTGCCGCCGCCGCCGCCCACGTTGTACATCGAGAGACGCCGGCTCACGCGCGGGACCTTGGCTTTGAGCGGTCGCTGGTTGGCTGCGCGGCGTGGCAGCGGCGGCGACGTCGGCGCGATCGCCGGCATGCGCTGGGACGCGGTCGAGGTGCGCCTGTCACCGTCGTCCTTGCGCGCGGGCGCCTCCGCCTTGTCCGCGTCCGACGTCCACGACCAGAGCATCGCGCGGGGGAAGCCGTCACCCTTCTTGCGCCGGCGGCGCAGCGGGCTCTCGGCCTTCTCAGGTCCGCGCAGCTCCATCGACGCCAACTCTGCCATCGCCAAAGTCTGCCACGTAAAAATAGCATCTTCCGGATACACTATGTTGTATCCGTATGCCCGAAGCCACCCAATGGCCGGACATCCGAATAAGTGCGATGCCAGTGTCTCTATGTGGGCGCACTTAATTAGTTTTATCTGTGTAAATGTATATGCATACAGATATCCAGTGGACAGGGAAGTTGGTAAGTCATTGAGAGGTCCCTTTTATCAGCAGCTTGCAGCGACAAGAACGACGACGAGCATGGACGGACCGGACCAGTGGATCGAGAACCTGCGCGCGGGGAAGCTCCTCACGGAGCTGCAGCTCAAGATGGTCTGCGAGATGGTCAAGGACATCCTCGTTGAGGAGGGCAACGTGCAGGCGGTGTCGAGCCCAGTCACGGTCTGCGGCGACATCCACGGCCAGTTCTACGACCTCCTCGAGCTCTTCCGCGTCGGCGGCGAGCTCCCGACGACCAACTACGTCTTCATGGTACCTCACGCCTCCATGCGACATGTGGCTCAGACGCGCGGTAGGGCGACTTTGTCGATCGTGGCAACAACAGTGTCGAAACGTTCGAGCTGCTCCTGTGCCTCAAGGCGCGGTACGTCCGTCTTCGCCTCGCCTGCGACCGCATGGCCTTAGCTCATGCGTTGCATAGGTATCCCGACCGCATTACGCTCCTGCGCGGCAACCATGAGAGCCGGCAAGTCACCCAGGTAGATCCCGCCAACGCGATCTTTCGAGTTCATTGGATTTGGCAGGTCTATGGCTTTTACGAAGAATGCGTCCGAAAGTACGGCAACGCCAACCCGTGGAAGTACTGCACAGACGTCTTCGACTACCTCAACCTTGCCGCCGTACGCTGCAGGGTTCTTGTCGGTCGTCGTCGCTCACGCTCCCTCATTAGGTCATTGACGGGCGCGTCCTCTGCGTCCACGGCGGCCTGTCGCCCGAAATTCACACCCTGGACCAGGTACGCCACGTCTCGCCAACGACGAAAAGACGATTGCAATGCGCCATTAGGTGCGCACGATCGAGCGCCAGCAAGAAGTGCCCCACGAAGGCGCGTTCTGTGATTTGATGTGGTCGGACCCCGAAGACATTGAGACGTGGGCCATGAGCCCGCGCGGCGCCGGGTTCCTCTTTGGCTCCAAGGTCACGGCCGAGGTGCGTCGGTGCCATTCGGTCGGCAATATGATCTTATATCGGTCGAATGTGCTAGTTCAACCACGTGAACGGCCTCGAGCTCATTTGCCGAGCGCACCAGCTCGCGCAGGAGGGCTATACATACATGTTTCCGGAGAAGAGCCTTGTGACGGTGTGGTCGGCGCCCAACTACTGCTACCGCGTCGGCAACTTGGCGGCGATCCTCGCCTTTGACGAACACCTCAACCGCGAGTTCAAAATCTTCCGCGAAGTGCCCGAGTCGACGCAGAGTGCGACCGTGCGCTCGACCGTGCCGTACTTCTTGTAGGTAGGAAGACGTAGTAGCAAGAGATATGAACCCGCAGCAGTAGTAGTAGTATGTTCGACTCGGATTGAATACATGTATTACACCTTAGAAGCGGCGCCTCCTTTCAACCTTCGGACGACCGACGTCTTGCGCCGCAGCCTACCGGTACTTTGACGAGCCGCACACCTTACTCAAAAAGGCCAACGCAAGTACATAGTCCAGGATGGACTTGGCGGCTTGTCGGACAAAGCACGGGCGGGCAGAGGTGCCAGTTCTCTTGGTGGACAGGTGTGGTCTCACCAAGGTGCCTCACTGGACCTACTGGACCAGCGGCAGCAAGCTCACTTGATCACCACCACGCCATGACAGCGCACCAAGCACCTGTGCGTTCTTGCCGCTACTGCCAGGGCAATGACAGGCCATGCCAACTTTGCGGACACCAATGACAGGTTCTGAGGTTTTGAGACCATCGCCAACGGCACAACGGCAGTGGAGGTCGTCGTCGATAAACTGGTTCATAGCCACAACGACGGACCTTCTGGCGCACCTCGACGACCTGGATGGCGCCCTCTGCACGCGTATCTTTGAGTTTGCGGGGCCGCTCTCGCTGGGCCTCTTACGCCACGGGGCTTGGGCGAGCGACTTTGAGCACGGAGAAGACGACATCGGCTGTCTACGCCGACGCGTACACCGTCAACAAGCAGGGCGACCTTGCAAGCACTGCAGTCGACGATATAGACTGGTAGAAACTATGAAGATTGACGTCGACTTTGTACGAGTGCGATCCTGCTTTTGTTTCAAGCGTACCACACCACGAGACTTCAAAACCGCAGTGTAGCCAGAATGTCAACATTTGACCCTGAAAGGAGAACGCTCGCAAACCTAACAGCTCGATTCATGCCTCACTGCCGCGCGGAGGGCCCTGTCGGTACCGTGACCGCAAGACCCGATCGTTCGAGTTCATTTCGACACGCGAGATGTACGACCGCTATCAAGCGCTCACAAAGCACCTCGTCACATGCGCCCTTGGCTTTCGAAATGCTTACGACGACGACATGTTGCCACGTCATCACGCAAGCGAGGGGTTTGCCATTGGCGCTGCCGTTGGCCAGCATCGACCACTGTCGTGGGCTATCCGAGTCGAAGATGACATTCGACTGGACGCACTGGAGAACGTCGACCTTCGCAGGTGCCGGGACGTTGCAGTGACGCTGTTTTCGCGCCACCCGATCGCGCTTGTCCACGCTGCGGCTTATGGCGGTCACGCGACGCTCCTCACCAAGGTCCAGCAAGACTATATGGCGTGAACCTTGTGCGCCTCTCTAAGACGCCCGACGGACAGACGTACTTGTTGGACCACTCGGCCGGTCGCGGGTACCTTGACGTGGCCATGCTCCTGACAAACGCTGACAATAAGTATTGCACGACGGTCGCCATGGATGGTGCAATTGCTCATGGCCACTTCAAGTCAGTACGGTGGCTCCACTGCGCACGAAACGAAGGCTGCTAAACCATGGACCGCGATACAGCGTACTAGTACTAGAGCCGCCGCAAGTCGCCGCAGCATGCTGCGATCCTCGATTTTCTTGTGCACGAGCGCGGGATTCGCTTTTCGGAGAAGCCATTTGCCTTGGCAGCGGCCTTTGGGGACATGCGGATGGTGCTAGCATGCCGTGTTGATGGTGTCGCGTGTACGACCACGGCGATGGACGCCGCTGCGCGCAACTGCCAGCTCGAGGTGCTTGCGTTTCAGCAATCGCACCACCCAGAGGACTGCTCGGATGCAGCTTTCAATGACGCGGCGGCGCGCGGGGATCTCTCGACGGTTCTGTTTTTGCAAGCGCACTACTCAACTGTCGGGAATCTCGTGGACGCTCTGACTGCGGCGGCGCGGCGAGGGCGCCTCGAGGTTGTCGCCCATGGATGCCGCGGTGCGTCAAAGACACTTTGACGTTGTGCGGTTTCTGCAGTTGCACCGCCCGCCCGAGAGCTGTTCCATGTGCATGCATGGAACGACGACGGGTACGAGTGGCAACGCCCGTGGAGTGCTGCTTCGTCGGCACATGACGTGGCAGAGCCATAGCAATTGAAAAAAAGCATGAGCTAGTACATTCGACATTTTTGATAGACAACTTGTCCATCAGTTTTGATATACGATCAACGTCTATCGATCATGTAATACTATACCGGTGAGTACACAATTGCACAGCGCTCGAACGAGCCGAGAGCACTGGTTTGGTTTCGAGGCGGTTGCGATGCCAAGGAACTGTGAAAACGCATAATTGTATTCATTCTGACAGACGTGGCAAGATTTGCTTTTGATGAGCATCGTCTACGGCGGCCCTGGGCCGACGATGCTGGCGACGACGCCGGTCGTGCTCAACACGTGGCCCTTCACGGCGGCGACCGACCGTGCGTACGCAGAGCTTCTGCGGCCTGATCGCTCGGCCCTCGACGCCATCGAAGAGGGCTGCAACATCTGCGAGGTCGACACCCACGCCGCTTCCTGCCTCTTATGCTGCTGGCGTAGGTCGCGCAGTGCGACTTTACCGTCGGCTACGGCGGGAGTCCCGACAGCAGCGGCGAGACGACGCTCGACGCTATGATCATGGACGGCGACGACCAGGCAATGGGCGCGGTTGCGTGCCTCCGCCGGGTCAAGGACGCGATCCGCGTCGCTCGGCGTGTGCTCACGCACTCATCGCACTCACTTCTCGCAGGCGACGGCGCGCTCGCCTTTGCCAAGATGATGGGCTTCCGCGAAGAGTCGCTGACGACGCCGTACTCGACCAAGCTATACCTTGAATGGCAAGCGAATCGCTGCCAGCCCAACTACTACCGCAACATGATCAACCAGTCGACAGCCTGTCCGCCATACACGCCTGCATCAGTCGACTTAGCGCGACCCGTCTCCGAGAGCTGGATTGACGCTACAAACCACGATACGATTGGCATGGTCTGCGTCTGCTTTTTTGCACTGTCCTGACCCAAGCCTGTAGGTGGCGCTGAGTAGCGCTGGTCATCTTGCCTGTACGTCCCTTTGCTTCCACGTACCTTGACCAACGTTGCAGAGCGTAGCGGGCACGAGCTCGAACGGCGCCAACCACAAGATTGCAGGGTACGTACCTCAGAACAACGCTGAGTCGTCGATTCGTCGAGCTAGTCGAGTGGGTGACGCGCCCATACCTGGCGCTGGCTCGTACGCCGACAGCACCAAAGGCGCCGCGGCGGCTACTGGCGACGGCGATGTCATGATGCGCTTCTTGCCAACCTACCAGGTAGTCCGATCGCTTAGCCCACTACAAGCATGTGCCATGAACGTGGACAGGCGGTGCAGGACATGGGCAATGGCGTGCACGTATGACATTCTAGCCCACGTCGACTCTTAGCACTGACGTACTAGCCTCAAGTGGCCTGTGAGATGGCACTGCGGCGTATCGCGACCAAGGCGCCAGCATTCAAGGGCGGGATCGTCTGCTTGAATCCTGCAGGCGTCTACGGCGCGGCAGGGCACGCACCCCATCGCCAATATGAAGTCACATGTACACTGTAGATTTGGCTGGAATTTTTCGTACGCGGTGCGCACGCCAGGCATGGAGGCCACACACGTCATTTCCGTGGACCCCATTGCAGTCGTCTAATGCACATCGCATGACGCGGGTCGTAAGCTTTGCAAACTCGCTCCACCATCCTCGCTGATCTCGATCGCACCGTAAATACCAAGAACAATGGCTTCTACAAAGGACTCTGCAATTTGCTGGTCGTCCTCACCGACATGGTCGCAGCAAGGGCATTATTGGCCCTTGGCAGTAGCGATGGAGCTGAAGATGTGGATGGGATGCATGAGGTCGGCAGCGGTGCGATAACAGGCCCGGCAAGGCCAGAGAAGGGTCAGTGCTCGTTTCCACCATTTTTGATATATCGCCAAGATTCAACAAGAAGATAGAAACCAACTTCAAAATTTCTGTCGAAAACCCTTTTTTGGCGCCTCCTTTCTTCGATTCTCGACGCAAGTGGGTGGAATGAAGTACCGTAGTACTATGCGCAGCTCTTGACTAGCATCGTACCGTAGCACCAGAATGGTTTGAACAAATGTTGTCCAGTCAGCTCGGCCGCAATCTCGACAGACGCAAGTTGGCTCGGTGCGCTCAGTGTCGAGCTGAGTCCAGCTGAAGTGCAACCTCGAGGTGCTTGGATGCGGACTTCAAAGATCTTGCTAGAGTGTAAAGCATGGAACAAAGGCGTGTCCCACGCCACGCGTCTGAGTGGTAGGCTCAGCGTTTCGGCTCCAGTTGGCATCCTGGCGAGCTCACGCACACGTGCGTCTTGGGCAAGGCATTATAGTGCACTGGCCTCCCCAATCGTCGAGATCGATGCGACCAAGCCAGTGTTTCGAGATAGCTTGTGCACGGAAGCGCAAGTTGAAGTTGCGTTTCCCCTGCGGATACCGGAGATGACTCACGGGTCCTAGCTGGCACCACGAGCTGGCGCCAAATTTCTTGAGCTACTTTGCACGCTCCATTCCCACCTTTTTTAATAGCAGTTGTGGGTCGAAGCCAAAGGTCACTTTTCGATCTCCAACGCCATGGGCAACACGACATCGTATGGCCTCGCCATGATCTCCCTTGGGGTCGCGATGGCCGACACCTACGACGTCATCGTCGTCGGGAGCGGCCCTGGCGGCCTCGTCGCCGCCGAGTACCTCAGCCGGAACGCATCGCTCTCGGTGCTCGTCTTGGAGGCTGGTCTCCCAACCCTCGCGGCGTCTGGTGGCAACAACATTCCGGGCTACGCCCAGTCCCAAGGCCTTACAGTCTTCGACATTCCCGGTGAGTACACCAACATTGCGTTCGGCGGCAACGCTGCGTACCGCTACGGGACCGACTGGGTCTCGTCGCCCACCGGTCTCTACCTTGGCAAGTGCGTCGGCGGCAGCTCGTCGCTCAACGGCATGCTCTACTTTCGCACGCCTGACTCGTATGTGACGGAAGCGAGCTGGCCCAACGACGTGGCGACCGTCAACGCTGGCTTCTCCGCGATCGAAACCATGTTTACCTTCGGCTACAACCCGTCGCCCGACGGTGTCCGCTACAACCAACAAGCGTACACCATCATGCGCGCTGTACTTGGCAATGGCGGCGGGTACACCGAGACGCAAGCCATCAACACCGACCGCAACGCCAAGAGCAAGAGCTACGGCCACCCGCCGTTCGCGATCAAGAACGGTCTTCGCGACTCGCCGGCCAAGACATTTCTCGGTGCGGCCAAGGCCCGGCCCAACTTCAAACTCATTTCATCGGCGACCGTCTCGTACATCATCCAGTCCAAGGGCACCGCGACGGGTGTCGTCTACACCGTCAACGGCCAGACCGTGACTGCGAGTCTGTCGGGCAAAAGCGCCGTCATTGTAGCCGGTGGCGCAGCCATGACGCCCAAGATCCTCATGCAGTCAGGCGTCGGGCCGTCGAGCCAGCTCAACGTGCTCAAGAGCCGAGGCAACGCTCCGGGTGTCAGTGGCGACGCGGCCAACTGGGTCGTCAACGAGAACGTCGGCGACAGCATGTTTGACTCGCAGCAATTGCTCATGACGTTTTCGCGCAACGACATGGTCTCCTTCTCATACTCGCAGTCGCAAACGGCGGCGATCACGCAGTACATGACCCAAGGCCACAGCGGACCCTGGGCGAGTCCGGACCCGGTTCTGATTGCGTACGAGAACTACAACTTTGGGGGTCGGGCGTACCAGTTCCAAGTGACCTCATTCTCGCACGGCTTCAACTGGGGCAGCAACAACCCGACCGAGTTTGGCGTCGCCGTGTATGTCAACAACCCGATCTCGCGCGACAGCGCACGCTTCAGTGGCGACGGCGGCTACCATCTCGACACGGCGCACAGCATGTACAGCAACCCGACCGACCGGGCGGCCGTGGCCAACTACCTCGACAAGCTCCGCGGGTGGATGAGCAGCCAAGGCGTGACGCAGGTCGTACCGAACGCTGGTGTCTCGTCGATCGACTTTGTCAACGCCAACATCCAAGGCGCCAACCACTACGGTGGTAGCTGCTACGCGTCTGGCGATGGCTCGGACGCCAAGCGGTGTGCCGACGAAACGCTGCGGGTCGTTGGTGCCAAGAACATTTATGTCGGCGACGCCAGTTTGATGAAGACGGGGACCGTCAACCCGTATGGGTTTATCATGTACGCCGGGTACCAGACCGGCGTCAACGTCGCCAAGGCCATCGCCTCTGGGTCGACACCCGTGACACCGACGCCGCCTGGCTCGTGCAGCAACCTCCAAAGCGATCTCGACTACTTCGGCAACGACATCAAGTCGACGTCGCGGGCGTCCGCGAACGACTGCTGCGGCGACTGTGCGGCGACAGCCGGCTGCGCCTTGTACGTGTGGACGGGCGACAACGGCGGGACGTGCTGGCTCAAGAGCGCTGCCGGCGCGCCGTCGTCCAAGCCCGGTGCCAAGTCGGGTTTCCGTGGCACCGTGACACCGACGCCACCTGGCTCGTGCACCAACCTCCAAAGCGATCTCGACTACTTTGGCAACGACATCAAGTCGACGCTGCGGACGTCGGCCAACGACTGCTGTGGCGACTGCGCGGCGACAGCCGGCTGCGTCTTATACGTCTGGACAAATTCGGCGGGCGGGACGTGCTGGCTCAAGAATGCCGCTGGCGCCGTCTCGTCCAAGCCGGGGGCCAAGTCTGGTTTCCGGGACTCCGTGACGCCGACACCAACCGTCACGACGGCACCTCCGCTTGCAGCTTGCGGAGCGCCGCTTGCCAACACGGACTTTGATGGCCAAGACGTTGGCAATGTGCCGGGTGGGACGCCGGCAGTGTGCTGCGCCGCATGCCAGAGCAACCCAGCATGCAACGCGTACAGCATTTGGAACAACATTTGCTGGCTAAAGAGCGGCTCCAACGCACCGCGCTCGGCGCTGGGCGTCGTGGCGGCCACCGTCAACAAGTGCTCGGCGCTCGAGTCCAACGTCGACTACTCTGGCAACGACCTGAGTAACGCGCCGGCCGTCGCAGCAACAGGGTGCTGTGCGCTGTGCCGCAACACATTGGGCTGCAAGGCCTTCTCGTGGTTCCAAAGCGTTTGCTACTTGAAGAGTGCCAAGGGCGCGTCCATTGCCAAGGCGGGAGTCATTTCGGCCGCGGTCCTTGCGTGAGTCTGTAGCTCGATCCTCGTATTATATTCTATCATCAAATTCCTTGCATATCTGAGACGTTCACACAACCACCCGCAGAAAGAAGCGCTGGTCCAGTCAGCAGTCAGTGAATGTTTCGACTGCGAGGATTGCGCGCCAAGACTGATAGCAAATTTCCAGATTGCACTTGCCCCAAGCGCATTCCTACCGCGTTAAAGAGGTTTAAACATCCTTTTACCGGAACCGGTGACGAGCGGTACAGAGAGAAATCGAGCATGAATCGTGCAAGTCGACGTGCCAACATACATTCCGATCTGCTAGGGAGGGTATCTGTATACAGCGTCGTGCCAACATGGCAGGCCAGCACAAAGTTTCGTGCCGCGACATTTAACCCATAAAACGTGTTGAACGCGTTTTTCATTCAACGCGTCGTTGAACCGATCGTGTCGGACTCAGTCGCGCGCACTGCTAGGTTGCCGGACGCTCGCCGAAGCTCTCAGCTGCCGACGTTCTTCACTTTTCAATTTGCTACCTTGCGATGGGCAACCAGTGGAGCTACGCTTTTGTGCTGCTGACGGTCGTGGCGCGCGCGGTGCATGGCGCCACGTACGACGTCGTCGTCGTCGGCAGTGGTCCGGGCGGCCTTGTTGCCGCCGAGTACCTCAGCCGCAACGCCGGCATCTCGGTGCTCGTGCTCGAAGCCGGCGGACCGTCGCTCGC